TGTCAATACATTGAACTGAAGTTCAGAGAAGGGACAAGACCCAGTCTGATCGAAAGCTGGGGTGACACCCGCCTCTACCAACCCAGGGACCATGTGTGGCTGTTGACTCGTGACTTCAGGTTTGAGGAGGGTTGCATAAAACTTAAATATTTTGGTCCATTCAAGGTTTTGGAAAGAGTTAATGAAGTTATGTACAGGCTCGATTTACCCAGACAGTGTCGTGTCTCGTGTCTTTCATGTTTTCCTCCTTAAGCCTGTTGTTCCAGGTCCGCTGGACGAGGTCTGACCTGTTTTTGTGTTTATTACTTGCCTTTTCGTGTTTGCTGGACATTACTGACCTCTTGTTTTTTTTTAACTTGGACTGGTGACTGAATTCTCTCTGGATGTCCCTTTTGTCTTGGTTATCATGCTCTCTTGTTTTGACACTGGCCTGTTCTGACTACGCTCTTTGTGACACTCCAAAGGTCTGAAGTAATCTACAACCTTGTCTTTTAATCTGCAAGCGTCTGATCTGTTTTGACTTCCTGACACTACCTGGATACCACAGAGTGAACAATCCTGATTGGACAATTTTCTGTTGGCCGTTTTAAGTTCTAGTTAAAACTTGAAACAATGAACAAAAAATGAAATGAAGTACGTACAGAGTTCAAACACAACAAACATTTTCAATCTATTTAATCAAAATGTACTAAAAATTACGATGGATTTTTAGTTCCCAGGAATTGTTTACAAGCCTGTCCAACTTCACAACAGTACCTACTGAACAGAGCTAAATTGCTGAATGGGCGGGGCTAAACTGCTGTAGACTGAATGGGCGGGGCTAAACTGCTGTAGGCTGAATGGGCGGGGCTAAACTGCTGTAGGCTGAATGGGTGGATATATTTAAATGAGCTGATGGCTGGTTTTTGAACATACCCTATACGGACTGTACGGAGTGGAAAGTGAATGATTTCTGAGTTTTTCCAGTGATATGTGCCTTTTAAGAAGACTTTGCTTGTTTTTGCCCTGTAGATATAAATGAAGGAAGAGTGCTGCAGCATGTCGAGTCAGTGTCATCTCCGCGGTAACGGCGCTGACCGCCGCAGGAGCCGAGCGGAGCGGCTAGTAAACACGCTTATTGACCCGCGTGCCTGCGTCTGATTGGTGGTGTAAATTTCTGAGTGTGTGTGTTCCAGCAGAGGCAGATTCACTCTGTCTGAAATCGATACAGCGGCTCCATCGCTGTCCACTGCAGGACGGACGCTTTAATTGGCTGTAATTGGCCGGATCGATCCTAATCTGCGGCCACCGTGATTCAGAACACACAAAGCAAACATGGTCAGTCTGGGTGCTGATCGATGAGCAGGAACCGCCCACTGCCCCGCCCACGATCAATAGCTGCTGTCACACATTGGGCACATCTGATATGTTTAATTGTGCATGCTCATTACCTTTTCTTGAATCCCTCTTTGTGTCTTAGCCAGTGGTGTGTCCAGACCAATCGGGGGCCTCAATGAAGCCAGCACCCCATATAATCAGAAATAAAATACAAATATTATTATTGAGTTATGCTGGTTTGTGCCATTAAAAGAAATTTTTGTGCTATTTTTAATTTCGTATTTTATTTAGTGGTAATGTTTCAACAAGTGAGGTCGGTCATGTGGGTGGTCTTTGCATTAGGCTAAAGTAGGCAGCCAGCTAGGGCCCCTATGAGCCAAGTGTCCCCATCAACTAAGGGCCCCATGAGCCAAGGGTTCCCCCAAAGTTCAAGGTTTGCCACTTTGCCAAAAAAATAGCATCAGCAAAAAGTCCAGCATTTTAAAATAATTTTTCTCAGCAAGTGAAAGCCATATATCAACAACGTCCAGAAACACCGCCGACTTCTCTGGGCTCAAGCTCATCTGAAATAGACTGATGCTCAGTGGAAACGTGTATTGTAGTCTGATGAGTCCACCTTTCAGATTGTTTATGAAAGTAATGGACGTTGTGTTCTCTGGGTCAAAGAAGAAAAGGACCCTCCAGATTGCTACCAGCGTACAGTTCTAAATCCAGCATCTGTCATGGTGTGCATTTGTCAGGGACGTCACCCATTCAGGCAAGTTATAAAGAGTGTTTCAACATCAAACTGCTTTTTGAATGAGGTACAGGATAGCCAATCGGAACAGAGCTCATTTACATATATCAACCTTAAAGATAACATAACAAAAACAGCCTGTTTAATTCCAGCCCTTAAAGAAAAGTCACATATATTTCACGAGAGTGTACAAAAACATATAATCCCATATGGAAAAGAATATATGAACATGTATTTTTATAGATATGAAATACATTTCAAAAACATTGCAGTCGGTGCTGAAATACGTGCAAACACTAAAATTTCTGAATATATTGCCAAATTAACCAAATTAGTTTTAAAACGCATTTATTTCAAAATACTACACATAGAAATGTACCATACAAAATAATAAGACACATGGTTTATTTTGTCCTGCCGTCCAGAGAAAAACAGCTCTTCCGTCACTCTGACCGCTCTCGAGGGTGGACATTTTAAAAACATCATGTTCCACGTATTTCTGTGATGGTAAACTGAAATAGGTACAGCAGCTGAAGACACCTTTTCTATTTTGTGGGAGAATTGTGTAATCAGGTATAATTCGCTGTTGATGTAATTGTGCAGTGTGAGTCTCAGAGCTCTGTTCTGTTCTGTTGAGGTGGAAGTTCTTCTATTTCAGAACTGAACGGAGACGTTAGCCCAGTTCTGGTTTCTTTCCGCTGGCTCCCCGAACACTTCCACAATGATGTTGAGGTTTTATTATTCGCTTTGTAAGGTTTTAATGTCCTCACACTCCCTCCGTTCTGCCTCAGACCTGCGGCTCTGCTATTCCTGGCTGTTTTATGCAGTGGTGTGGTGGATGGGTGGGAGCACTGTGCTTCGTAAGAGACCCCCAATCAATATACAGTCACATGTAAAAGAGTTGGTCATCCCTAATCAAACTGAATGTTTTCTTGATTTTAAATCAATGAAAATAAAAAAGAAAAAGTGAAAATGTTAAAACATACTCAACAGAGAACACATTTCAATGCACATTCATATTTATATATATACGCATATATATATACACACACACACACTTGAAATGCTTCTATTTTGATTTTCTAAGTGGCCTCAGACTTTTAGACCTCACTGTATATTCATTCATTATGATAAATGATTATGATATGATAAACAACAGATACAGTACATCTTCTCATCTATATTCCCTTTAATTTGCTTCTGTTTAACTTGGCCAGAAAAATATCGAATTTATTATTTTTTACAATATTGTGCTAAAAGTGCTCTGCTGCCACCTAGTGACAAAATACCATTACAACAACCACTGGTTTGGAATGAACAGGGCCATTCAGAGAGATTCAGAGTGGTTTGGTGTGAAATGGTTCAGATGTCTTTACAGTGGTGGTGACAGGAACCAGGGGTCGCCATGACTACAACACAGATATAGACATTTTATTTACTATCCAGAACCACCAGTGAACCTACACGAGTCTTCTGAGTTTATATGGAATGTTCCCTGATAGTAAGAGGATAGTGAACTGCTGTCGGCCTGCTGACCTGCTGATGGCAGAGCTGGTGGTCTGCTGCCGTTTTGCTCAGTGTTGTCTGGGCGGCCCACCGGTGGTCAAGCAGAGAATCAGACAAAATTCCACTGATCATCTCTCATTTTCACTCACAGTCCAGTTTACTGATTTTTCCTTCCCTCCTTTCTTTAGTTCTACTTTGTAAATTAGTTTAGTGAGTAATGTTAATCCAATAGGCTCCAGCTCCCCACCGCGACCCAGAAGGATAAGCGGCTTAGATGATGGATGGATGGATGGATGTTAATCCAGCTCAGCGTCAGCAGCAACATTTCCTATAAACTCATTTTATATCAGGACTGGTCATTTTTTTTCTCTCAGTTGTTTCTTATATTTGTCTAAGTTTATTTTCTAAAATAAAAGTCTCACCAAAGAACACTGAGAACCGGCAGTATTAGCCACTGTAAGGTTCTCAAAGGTTCTCCTGTCGGTTGTTGTTGGCTTGTAACATCAAAGAAGCTACAGAGGGAATAACGTGTTTCATATTTTAATGCATTTACAGTGTGTTATCAGGGCTTAATGTACACTCTTAAAAAGATGGTTCTTCAAGGGTTCTTCAGTAAAGACAGTGGTACAATACAGAACCGTTTAACCATCTGCATGCTTAAAAGGTTCTTCAGATTGATGGAGATGTGTTGTATGTGGTTCTATATAACACCGAAAAGGGTGCAAAAGGGTTCTATTGCAAAAAGGCTCTAAGCTTGACATTATAACAATAGCAGAACCCTTTTTGGTGCTATATAGAACCATATACAACACATTGTCCATCAATCTGAAGGCCCATTTCACCATGCAGAGAACCATTTAAGCATACATAGAACCATTCTCATTACTAAAGAACCTCTGAAGAACCGTTTTTTAAGAGTGTACAGGAGCGTATTTTTCCATTCACCTCCTGGTTTAATTAAATAATAATTTAGAAATGAATTAAATTTTGGTGTTAAATTCCATAAATCAGGCAAATGTCAGGGGCTCAACTCAGCGCCTCATAACGAAGCCTCGAGCGCCTGTAAGCGGTCGTAACGCGTTACAGCGCGTTTAGGCGCTGCGGTTTTCCTCAGCTCCGCCTGTGGTACTCCCCCCCATGGAGAGACTCTTATTCTGTAATACAGGCTGCGACTGTGTTCACGGTCCTTTACTGAAACCGTACATTAAATAAAGCCCGGTGAAGAGCTGAGACCGCGGACTGGAGCGGTCAGTGGTGGGTGTAGGGGTGGTCTTCTGGCGGGAACAGGAGCGTCCTGTAAAAACAGGTCAGAGTTAAAAACGGAAGATTAATATTTACCCACAGAAATTAATGATTCTTTAATTGAATTATTGAATTTGCGATTCGTAAATAATTCTTTCAATAGATAAAATTAAAAGTCAGTGAAAATACACATCTTCAGCTCCACACGGTGTGTTTCCGGTTCCGCGAAATAAGCCCCGCCCCCTTTCCGGGGCGTGTATTTAAAGGCTGGACCGTAAACAGTCGCGGACGGAGCGGAGTTTCAATCACGTTTAAACCGCGTTCACCGCCTTCATCGCCGCGGAGCTGCGACTGTCGGAGTGTGGCGATCATTAACCCGCTGACCGGGCCGGTTGACCCGCTGACCGGGCCGGTTAACCCGTTTACAGCCGCCGGAGAAACGCGGTAAACCGCGCACACACACCGAGAACACTGCGCGCGCTGTCGGCAGTCGCAGCGCGCGCTCTCCGCGTGTCCTGCAGGCAGAAGGATGTCGCGCGCAGACGGTGACGGAGAGACGGTCAGAGGTAAGTATCACCTGTGGAGGGACACTCAGACACTCAGTCTGATCATCAGACACTCAGTCTGATAATCAGACTCATCTAACCAGAAACTTTTAAAGGGCGACTCCACCGCTTTTCTGAAATTCTCTGCATTATTAAACGGTTAAGGCGTAAACAGAGTCGTTCAGAGTGGTTCAATGTGGTTCTAGATAAACTTACCGAGTCAGAGTCGTTCACAGTGGCGGTGATAGGAACCAGACGTCCGCTGTTCAGAGGACCTCCTACGAGAACAACTGAGACTGAGATTTATCGCCTTTATATAACACGTTCGAAAGGACGGTTCCTCAAGGGTTCTTCAGTAAAGACATTGGTTCTGTGTAGAGCCATGAACACTCACAGAGCCATCTGCATGATTAAATGGTTCTCTGCATGGTGAAATGCTTCTAAGTAGCACCAAGAAGAGTTACTCTGTTCTTAAAGCTTGACATTGTCACAATAGAAGGACCCTTTCAAAAAGGTTCTATATAGAACCATCTACAGCACATTGGTTCTATTGCAAAAACAATAGCAAACCCTTTCTCCATCAGTCTGAAGAACGCTTTCACCATTCAGAGAACCATAATCATGTAAAGGGTTCTTTGAGTGTTCATGGTTGTATACAGAACCATTATCTTTACTAAAGAACCCTTGAAGAACCATCTTTTTAAGAGTGTAGTGCTCTTTCTCCTAATTCCCTGTATAAACATTAACCCCTGTAATTTCCAGGGTTCGCCAGTGGGCCCAAAGTGTTATTACACACATCTATAACCTAAGAATAGCTCAGCCAGTTTGCACTGAAGAGCCTGTAGTTACTGAGTAATAAGCCTCAGTGTGTAATAAGAGATTTGAAGGGGTTAAAAGAGCAGAGAGGTTCTGTTTTTAACACCAGAGATCTGGAACCCATTACTGATGAACCTCCGTCAGACTCCTGTCAGCGTTTTTAAATACAGAGAAAACAGATTTATATTTAGACCTTAGCTAGTTTTCATGGTTCCCCTGTTTTCACTGGAATATCACTTCACTTTGATGTCATTAGTTGTGTTTTCACTGGATTCTTATTTACACTTTCATCTTTTCATCTTAATGTTAATTATTACTAATATATCCTCTGTTCTGCTGTTGCTTTGATTTGTTGCATTTTTATTATTTGTTTATTTTATTTTATATTTTTCTCTGTTGTTCTTACTTTGCATTGCGAAGCACTTTGGGCTGCATTTATAACATATGAAAGGTGCTACGTAAGTAATTATCACTGTTATTATCGTATTATTACACATCAAACCACTGAATGACTCGGTTTACACCTCACAGTCTGAGTTATGGGGAATCCACTGTCTAAAGCCACCAGTGAACCTACATGCGTCCTCTGAGTGTCTGTATGTGGTGATGATGGTAAAGCAGTGGACAGTCTGGAATCAGCTGAGCTCTTGGAGTGAAAACAGGTGTGAAAAGCTCATGATGAACAGACCAATAGAAATGCTCCAAAACTGACTGAATAAAGCCTCTTCACACCGACTCCCACTGAAGGAGTGTTCACCCCTCTCCTGTAAAGCTGCCGTTTTGGAGAGGCTGGTCTTCCCTTGGTCAGTGACGAGACGTAACAGCTGTAAAGTCGTATAACCATGGTGTGGCTCAGTTTGATGCCCTGTGTTTAAAATCAAGGGGTCAGTTAAACGTAAATAAAGCATAGTTTGGCTTTTTAAGGTAAAAGGTTGAACAAAATAAAACAGAAAACAAAATAACTGATGATCATAAAAAGGGAGGAGGGGTTAATGTGTGGGTTTTCATTGGAGGAGCTCAGTCTCCATCTGATTGGTTCATATAGGCCACATGTCTCCAGTCCTGGTGGACCAGAGCTCCGCAGACGTCAGCACTCGGCCTCATTACACAGCCCTGAGTCAGCTCTTCAGCTAATTAGACCTTCCTGAGCTGAATTCAGAGCGTGAGAGGAGGGTGAACAGTGAGTGAGTTTACCTGGTCTTAATAATCTGATAACTGCAGAGAAATCAGACTGTCAGTAACTGGTTCAGTGTGTTTACAGTCAATAATCTGATAACTGCAGGAAATCAGATTGTGTCAGTAACTGGTTCAGTGCCTTTACAGTCAATAATCTGATAACTGCAGGAAATCAGATTGTGTCAGTAACTGGTTCAGTGCCTTAACAGTCAATAATCTGATAACTGCAGAAAATCAGATTGTGTCAGTAACTGGTTCAGTGCCTTTACAGTCAATAATCTGATAACTGCAGAAAATCAGATTGTGTCAGTAATCCGATCAACATGTTTACATTCACTTGAGTAATCAGATAATGGGGAAGCTACAGGTCTACATGACTCAGACAGTAATCAGATTTCTGCTTTACAACCAGCCAATAAGCTCACAGAAAAAGACCCGATGTAAACGTAATTTAAAACTCAAACGTCACGAGTTTTTTAAACATCGCTCCACTTAAGCAGAAATTATGAACAAGCATCATCTAGAAGATGAAGAATATTTAAATCCTTCATTTCGTCAAGCATGTATTTGGTCTCAGCGTCGCTCCAGAAGTGTTTTGCTGCGTCTCGCGGCGACGCTGCTCGCTTATTTCTGGTACTGCTGTCTGTTTTCGCAGACTGAGAAACCCGAAAGAAATCAGAGTGAGAGTTTACATGCACTGAGAAATCTGATTACTGAGCTAAAATCCAGCCTCTTTATCAGATTTCTTAATGGGTGTAATGGTGTGTACATGACCATTTGAATAATCGGATAACTGCAGAAATTATAATCGGATTATTGAGTGCATGTAAACACACTCACTGATCTCCACAGGCAAAGAAGGTCCCCAGTCTGACACGCCTGATATAGAGAGAACACACTGCTGCACAGTTACTGTTTATTTACTGAATTTAACACACTGTGGAGGGGATAAACCTGTTTAATGTTTCTTTAATTAATTAATTAATTAATTAATTAATGGTTTAGTACACTGACATGCCCAAAGTCATGGAGCAGGAACTAGTATGGTGTAGGACTCCCGTCCACAAGTGGATAGAGGACGTCTGGAGGGATGTTGAGCTGTGCCACCCTGATAGCCACCCACAGCACTGTGGTGTTTGTAGGTGCAGGATCTCTGGTGTGAATGGTCCTCTCCACCACATCCGTTAATGCCTGATTGGGGTGAACGTGCAGGCCACATTGTTCATCAGAACTCTCCAGAATGCTCCTCAAACCAATTCTAGACAACTTTGGCCTGATGGCACTAACTTAAATATACCATCATTGTGGTGGGGGTACCTGAAGTCCAAGATGGGCTGCAAATGGTCATGAAGCAGAGAAATGTAGCGGTCACCAGTCAATGATGTGTTAAGTCGGACCAGTGGACCCAGCCCATGCCATGAGAACACACCCCACACCAGTATGGAACCACCACCAGCCTGCACAGTGCCTTGTTGACGACTGGGGTCCATGGCTTCATGGGGTCTGTGCCACACATGAACCTCACCTTCAGCCTGAACCAACTGGTACCGTGACTCATTGGACTACACCACATGTTGCCAGTCCTCTAAGGTCCAGTTAACAACCTTATGAGCCCAGGTGAGGCGCTGTGTCCAGTGTCTGGTGGGTCTTCTGCTCCCGTATCCCATGGAAGCTAAAGAATGCTGCACTGATCTGCGGGGTAGGTGTGTGGGGCCTCCTGCACTGAATGAGGATGGATTTCTGCCAAAGTTGCTTGTCTGTTCACATGGACAGATCTAGCCAGGCGCTGCCGGTCACGACCATTAAGCTCCCATGGGTGACCATTGTGCTGTCCACTGCGGGTGGCCACTGTGCTGTCCACTGTGGGTGGTGATGCCTTCTGTGACATATTCTCGGTAGACATTCTTTATAGCACCAGAAAGGATCTGCTGTTGTTGCAAGATCAAATTTATATCAATAGAAGAACCTTTTTTGGTGCTATAAAGAACCCTTTTCAAAAAAGTTCTATACAACACATTGTCCATCAGTCTGAAGAACCATTTCACCGTGCAAAGAACCATTTAAGTATGCAGTTGTTAATGGTTCTATATAGCCTTAGTTGTCGTCACTAAAGAACTCTTTAGGAACCATCTTTAAGAGTGTAGTTGTTACCAGTTGTTCTTCAAGGGTTTTTCAAAGGTTCTTTAGTAAATTCAATGATTCTATTTAGAACCAGGAGTTTTATATAGAACCATTTACATGCTTAAATGGTTCTTTGCATGGTGAAGTCATTTTTCAGATTGATGGAAAATGTGTTGCACATGCTTCTATATAGAACCTTTTTGTAAAGGGTTTTATATAGCACCAGAAAGGGTTCTGCTATTGTTGTGAAGTCAAGCTTGTAATAATAGAAGAACCTTTTACCTAAGCGTGCGTCTGCAGGGTTCTGCTCCACCACGACTGAGTCTGACACGTGAGCTGAAACTCAGACGGCGTCTGGATCGTAAATGAACCGAAGCGGCTCTGTTGGCGGTTCTGCTCTGGTTCCTCTCGCTGATGTTTCTCCCCGAATGCAGGTCGGTCAGTGAAACTGGGTCAGTTCGGTGAGCGGTCAGATTAGGTTCATGAGTGTTTGTAAACCTACTGAGTTCAGTTCAGCCTGTTCCCCGTGGGCTCCTGGCAGTGCCGGTCTCCTCCTGGCCCTCCGTCCACTGTGAAGATCTAATGTAAAACCTGCTCTAATTAGTAGAACCATGTTGAGTCGAATGCTGGAGTAATTAATAAAGATGATGAGTCCAGTTGATCAGAACCCACTTGTGTGGTCTTAAAAGCTACCCAACACAACTGCGTGGAACCGCTTTACACAGCGTTTTCAAACCTTTCGTTTTGGATGATACATAAAAGTAATCAGTCCAGTTAATTAATTAATTAATTAATTAATCAATCAGACTCTGATCACTCCAGTGTGATGTACTCAAAGTACTGTTTACTCAGCCCAGCATGTCAGAAGCCGCTCAACTCAGCAAATCCAGCATTTCATTTTTCTGAGACGTTGTTTTACTGAGTGCATTAAAAAGACAGTTTGGTTCTCTAGATGGTGAAATGGTTCTTCAAATTGATGAGAATGTGTTGTACATGGTTCTTTACAGAACCTGTTTGTAAAGGGTTTTACATAGCACCAGAAAGGGTTCTGCTATTGTTATGATTCCAAGCTTGTATACATGGATCATGGTTCGTGGTTCTATTGCCATTTCCTAAATCACCCTTTAAGAACCAGTTTTTTTTAAAAGTGTAGTTGTTACTGGCTGTGCTTCAAGGGTTTTCAAGGCAATGGTAAAGGCAATGGTTCTATATAGAACCATGAGTTCTATGTAGGACCATTTGCATACTTAAAGGGTTCTTTGCATGGTGAAATCGTTCTTCAGATTGATGGCGAATGTGTTGTACGTGGTTCTCTATAGAGCCTTTTTGTAAAGGGTTATATATTGTTATGATGTCAAGCTTGTTTATGATAGAAGAACCCTTAACCTTTAAGCATGCAGATGGTTCTTTAAGTTTTCATGGTTCTATAAAGAAACATCGCCTTTACTAAGCACCGTCCTTTTTAAGACTAGTTGTTAGTGGTTGTTCTTCAAGGGTTCTTCAAGACAATGGTAAAGGCAATGGTTCTAAATAGAACGTTTTCATGCTTTGCATGCTTAAATGGTTCTACATAGAACGTTTTCTTCTACAACAGAAGAACCCTTAACCTTTAAGTATCCAGATGGTTCTTTAAGTGTTCATGGATCTATATAGAAGCATCAGCTTCACTAAAGAACCCTTTCAGAACTGGTTGTTGTTCAAGGGTTCTTCAAGGCAACAGTAAAGGCAATGGTTCTATTTAGAAACATGAGTTCTATATAGAACCATTTCGATGATTAAATGGTTCTCTGCATGGTAAAAAGTTTCTTCAGACTGATGCAGAATGTTTTGTTGGTGCTGTGGAGATCAGCGTGTTCCGTTGATGAAGGTCTAATTAGCTGAAGAGCTGAATCAGGTGTGTGTAATGAGGCAGAGTGCTGAGGTCTGCAGGGTTCTGCTCCACCAGGACTGGAGACAGACACATGTGTTCTGTAGATAATGTGAATTTAAGGTCCATTTGAGTGGGATTAGTTTAATCTGGGGACCTGCTGTAATCTGAGTGAGCACTGACAGAACCCTGGTTTTAATCTAGTATGAATCTGCACTGTAGTGTTTACAGTCTGATCAGTAATCATTCCAGAGTGAATTTCCTCCTACACTCTTAAAAAGATGGTTCTTTAAGGTTTCTTCATCAAAGATAATGGTTCTACATTGAACTATAAACACTTGAAGAACCACTTGCATGACTAAATGGTTCTCTGCATGGTGAAATCGCTCTTCAGATTGATGGAGAATGTGTTGTAAATGGTTCTCTAAGAAGGGTTCTTCTATTGTATACAAGCTTGACATCAAAACAACAGCAGAACCAAAAAAGGTTACAACACATTCTCCATCAATCTGAAGAACCATTTCATGCTCATGGTTTTATATAGAACTCATGGTTTTAAATAGAACCATTGCCTTGAAGTATGAAGAACAACCAGTAACAACTACACTCTTAAAGACGGTTCTCAGAGGGTGCTTTAGTAAAGGTGATGGTTCTGTGTAGTACCATGAACACTCTGCATGCTTAAATGGTTAAGGGTTCTTCTGTTGTATATAAGCTTAACATTGTAATAATGGTAGAACCCTTTTTGGTGCTATATAGAACCCTTTTCAGAAAGGTTCTATATGGAGTCATTTACAACACATTCTCAGTCAATCTGAGGACCCATTTCATGCAAATGGTTCTATATAGAATTCATGGTTCTAAATAGAACCATTTGCCTTTACCATTGCCTTGAGGAACAACCAGTACTGACTACATTTAAAAAAAAAAGATGGTTCTTAAAGGGTGCTTTAGTAAAGATGATGGTTCTGTGTAGTACCATGAACACTTCAAGAACAATCTGCATGCTTAAACGATAAAGGATTGGTCTATTATATACAAGCCTGATATCGTAATAAGAGTAGAACCCTTTTTGGTGCTAGATAGAACCCTTTTCCAAGTGGTTCATTGAGATGTTTCTATATAGAACCACTGTATAGCTTCTAAAACAGCTCTTCAGTTGTTATGATGTCAAGCTTGTATACAGTAGAAGAACCTTTTTGGTGCTATAAAGAACCAAACGATTGAAGATACAAGCCTAAAATTTGGTGTCTTGTCTATCGAACACATTCTCAATTTCCAGACAATATGAAGCGAGTCTGCTATGGTCAGTCAGTAGATTGTCATGTTTCTAATTCTTTTGGCGCTGCTTTCAGGAGAAGAACCGATCGAGGAGAACGGAGAAGATCTCCCGCAGAGCTCTCAGCAGTCCTACCAGTGCTGCGAATGTGGGAAAACCTTCAGGTTCGCCTCCTTCCTGAAAGTTCACCTGAGAACTCACACCGGAGAGAAGCCCTTCCCCTGCTCGCAGTGCGGGAAGAGGTTCTCCTCGACCACCGGCCTGAGGAACCACACGTACATTCACAGTGGAGAGAAACCTCACACGTGCTCAGTGTGCCAGATGACCTTCAGATCCGTGCCGAACTTAATCGCCCACCAGAGGACGCACAGTAAGGAGAAGCCTTTCAGCTGCCCGTACTGCGGCCGGGGGTTTTCCAGGCCGGACAACCTTAAACTCCACGTCAAGATTCATACCGGAGATCGGCCTTTCCCCTGCGCCCAGTGCGGCTTGCGTTTCACCTGCACCCGCGTTTTAAAGCAGCACATGTACGTGCACACTGGACCTCACCGGTGCCCTCACTGCGAGGAGATCTTCAACACCTTCTCCAGGTTAAAAGCCCACAGGAAGATTCACAGTGCGTCGTCCAGTCGCGTTAAGAAGTGGCTGGTTAAGGAGGAGCGTGAAGGCGTCCTGACGTGTGGACTGAAGATGGGGGATGTGAAGGTGGTGAAGGTGGAGGCAGGTATGTATGTTGGGTTCGAACGTTGGCCAGCTGACTGTAGAGGACCACCTCTGATAATTCTGACCAGTAACTGGTTCAGTGTGTCCTACAGACCACAAACTAATCCACCAGCATTCCCAGTCTGTCCCACATACCACAAACTGATCCACCAGCATTCCCAGTCTATCCAACATACCACAAACTGATCCACCAGCATTCCCAGTCTGTCCTAAATACCACAACCCAATCTCCAGCGTTTTGTTTTATTTGTGATAAATCATGTCATGATACAATGCTTCTCTGAACCAACGGTATGATTCATTACAAAGAGAGCAAAATTAGCTGGTGGATCAGTTTGTGAAATATAGGACGGACTGGGATTGCTGGTGGATTGGTTTGTGGTATGTTGGATGGACTGGGAATGCTGGTGGATTGGTTTGTGGTATGTTGGATGGACTGGGAATGCTGGTGGATTGGTTTGTGGTATGTTGGATGGACTGGGATTGCTGGTGGATTGGTTTGTGGTATGTTGGATGGACTGGGAATGCTGGTGGATTGGTTTGTGGTATGTTGGATGGACTGGGATTGCTGGTGGATTGGTTTGTGGTATGTTGGATGGACTGTGAATGCTGGTGGATTGGTTTGTGGTATGTTGGATAAACTGGGAATGCTGGTGGATCATATAAACAAATGTAGAGTAGTATCTGTAGTTTCTGTTGCTGATCTCCCGTTCTAGATCTTGTTGGCGGTGAAATATTGTTTATGATGATCTTATTAGCATGTACAGAAAAGTGTGCTTAGTCTCTGTTGCCACCAGCATTCCCAGTCTATCCTACACACCACAAACCAATCCACCAGGATTCCCAGTCTGTCCTACATACCACAAACTGATCCACCAGCATTCCCAGTCTATCCAACATACCACAAACCAATCCACCAGCAATCCATCCTGTATTTCACAAACCAATCCACCAGCTAATTTTGCTCTCTTTGTAATGAAACATACCATTGGTTTAGAGAAGCATTGTATCATGACATGATTTATCACAGTTAATGATATATATTTTCATATTATCCAGCTCTTTGCTCACATATTGAAACTTTATTTTTCTCCATTGGTTTTCAGCATGTAGCTGTGTCAGTTTACACCCCCCCCCCAATCGCCCCCCAAATATTTCCACCACAACAGCCATAAGTTCAGCACTCCTTCACATGTGTCCTACATCCCTGTAGCACCCTTGTAAAAAAAAAAATAAAATAAAAAATCTGTTCCTGTAAACTGTAATATTTTTAGTAGTTTGTAATGTGGTGGTAATGTATAGTGTATAATGTGGTCTATAATGTATAGATTCGCTCTGTTAATATTGTTATTAATTCAATTACACTTTTGAATATTTTTTTTAAATGATTGATTTTCATTTTTGTCTTAATAGAAGGAGAAGATGCTGAAGATGAGATCAAGGAGGATGTACAGCAGGTCCTGCTGTTAGGGGAAAATCTTGAAGATGAATGTGGAGAAGATGTGAAGCAGGTCCTGGTCCTGGAAGAAGATGCAGACGATGGTACTGGAGAGGACGTGAAGCAGGTCCTGGTATGTGGAGAGGATGCTGAAGTGAATGAAGAGGTTCTACAGGAACTGAGAGCACAGAAATCTCACCAGTGTCCTGAGTGTGGGAAAACCTTCAGATACGCTTCCATCCTGAAAGTCCACCTAAGAACTCACACCGGAGAAAAGCCTTTCGTCTGCTTGCAGTGCGGGAAAGGATTTACCTCCATCACGAGCCTGAAGAACCACGCGTTCATACACAGTGGAGAGAAACCTCACACGTGTCCAGTGTGCAAGAAGGGCTTCAGAACTGCCTCAATCCTGAAAGGGCACCAGTTGACCCACAGTACGGAGAAGCTTTTTACGTGCTCCGACTGCGGTCGAGGTTTTTCCAGGTTGGACAGCTTGAAACTTCACACAATGATTCACAAGGGCGAAAGGCCTTTCGTTTGCAGCCAGTGTGGTATGGCTTTCACTTCTGCTCGTATTTTAAAAAAGCACACTGTCATTCATGCAAGACCCCACCGGTGCCCTCAATGCGAGAAGCTCTTCGCTACTTTGGCGGAATTAGAAGCACACCAAAAAATTCATGCTGATGAAAATCCACCGACTTGTACTCACTGCGGGAAACGTTTTTGGAAAATGAGATACTTGAAAGCCCACATGAGAATTCACACCGGAGAAAAGCCGTCCTGCACTCAGTGTGGGAGAACTTTCACCACCGATGGTGCCCTGGTTCACCACATGAAGCTTCACGCAGGAGACAAACCCCATCAGTGCTCCCAGTGCGGGAAGACCTTCGTAAGTGTCAAGGAGTTAAGATTACATCACCGGATTCATACCGGAGAGAAGCCTTTCAGCTGCTCCCATTGCGACAAGAGTTTCATCAGTGCAAGCTATCTGAAGAGCCACATGGACACGCATACAGACAGCAAACCTCACCAGTGCTCCGAGTGCGGGAGGAGTTTCAAACGTCCCTCAGAGTTAAAAATGCACGAAAGGATTCATACTGGAGAGAAGCCGCACGCCTGCTCTGAGTGTGGCAAGAGTTTCCGGAAATTGTGCAACGTTAAAATTCACATGAGGACCCACACGGGAGAAAAGCCCTTCATCTGCAGTGAGTGTGGGAAAAGATCTACGACGTTAGGCCACCTAAAACTCCACATGAGGATGCATTCAGGCGAGAAGCCGTACGTCTGCTCCGTGTGCGGGAAATCTTTTACACGATCGGCGCATCTGAAAGCTCACCGGTACGTCCACACAGGGGAAAAACCGTACCAGTGCTCAGAGTGTGGAATGAGCTTCGCTAAGCCATGTAACTTAAAAACACACCAAAAAACCACACACAAAAGTCCGGAGGACATCAAGTCCTAGAATTATAAAGCTAAGCCTCAACAGGACAAATCAAATCAGACCCATGCTTGTCCATCTGAGACATAATGGGCTGCGAGTTATGGAAGTTAACATCTGACATAACAGGAGGTGATTGACTTTTGCCAGTTGAAAGGATCCACCATAGTCATTGTAGTGGAGACTACATTGCATCTGTTGCAATCTGGAGCTTGTGATGTTCAAAATAATAAAGAAGAAGATGCAAAAGTCAATAATGACTTGTAGTCAGTCATCTAGGCATAACTGAACTTTGCGAAACCTCACACAACGATGGAATTTGGGCCACAAACTTGACAGAATTTTGTTCACAAACTTGACAGAATTTTGTTCACAAACTTGACAGAATTTTGTGCACAGTCTTGACGAAATTTGATCCACCGTCTTGATGGAATTTGATGCACCATCTTGACGGAATTTGGTGCACAATCTGACTTGCTGACTTTAATGTGCATCATGAAGTCTAACTGAGAAGTCAAACTACAGGTGCGGCTGGTCATCAGGTCTTTCAGCTCACATGCTGTTAAGGCCTGGAACAGACTGTGGTTCCTCCCAACCACAGGAGAGCAAAACGTCGATCTTCAGATCATAGCTCGGTGCTAGTAAAGCTTGGTCTGCCCACATATGGGGTAAGACAACCCTTGACAAGAGAAACATGTAGCAATATAATAAAGCTAGCTTCTGTAGAATGCATGAACTTATCATGTGTACAGACTGGCAAAAAATCTTCTCAGAGACACAGTGAATATTCGCCACCAGTTAACTGTCATCAGCCAGGATGCTCATCACCAGAAAGATTGGAGAAGAAGTTTTGATTAGTGAAAAGTATAAAGGAACTGCATAGAAGAAGCAGCACCTTTTGCAACAGCTTGAAAAACACAACCCTTAGCAAGCCGAAGCCCAGCTAGATGTGTGCTCAGGCAGAGAAGGTCCTACATTAGTACATTAGAAACATTAGTCTCATTAGAAAACTAATCCCATCCTAACACCCTAATCCACAAACTCAGTTGTTAGCAGGAACCTGAAACACTACAAATCTTGACAAAGCCTTGGGCCCAGATCAAGTTATTAAGAAATGCATTGCTGAGCTTGCAAGCCCGTAGTCTCTTGGGGCCAGACATGATCACATAACGAGTTCATGAATTTTCCCAAACCAGTCTGCTGTGTGTTTTGACCTTACCTTTCAGGCACAACATTCAGAGAGTATTAAGTAACACTTACTTGATCCATGCACTTCTGCAGTTCTCATAGATCCTGTACCTAATGCATGAACGTTACTACACTCTGTAAAAAGATGTTTTTTCAAGGGTTCTTTAGTAAAGACAGTGGTTCTGTATAGAAACATGAACACTCAAACCATTTGCATGCTTAAAAGGTTCTTTGCCTGGTGAAATGAGTCTTCAGATTGATGGAGAATGTGTTGTAGAATCTATTCTCCATCAATCTGAAGACCCGTTTCATCATGCAAAGAACATATGCAAATGGTTCTTTGAGTGTTCCTGGTTCCAAATAGAACCATTATCTATACAGATACAGGATGGCACTTACTAAGGATGGCACTTTATTAGCTGTGACTGAGCTGGACGAGTGAATCACCTACTTGCATCACACGTCCAAAAGTAGACTCCAGAGTTTCTTCTGAAATGAAGGTGTTAATAGTGAGTCTGTGCTGCAGAAACAGCCTTTACTCTTTTGGGAAGGCTTTACACTAGATGTTGAACATTGCTGTGAAGATTTGATTGAGCATTAGTGAGGTCAGGTACTGATGTTGGATGGTCAGTTCTGGACACTCCAACTCATCCCAAAGGTACTGGATGGAGCTCCATCACTCCAGAGAACACAGTTCCACTGCTCCACAGCCCAATGCTGGGGGGGCTTTATACCCCTCTAGCCCACACTGGGCATTGGGCATGGAGACCTTAGGGTCATGTGCAGCTGCTCTAGAGCGTCCTATTCTGTTGGTCAGTGCTTTTCTGTGGAGGTTATACAAGCTGTTTAGGTGCAACTGGATGCTGTGTCAGTAGTGGGTGACTTTAAAGTTTACTCTGGGTGTCTGAATACTTTTGGACGTATGGTGTACCTCGCCCTGCTCAATAACAACCAGAAGGTGCCCTGACAGTAACTGAAGTGGACCAGGTCAGTGCCTACTCTGAATTCGCCATCACCAGCCTTAAGCTGCTGTCACGCTGGACTGACGCCTCACAATGTTCAACATTTGGTTTTGTTTTTTGGAGCTGTGGGCGACATGTGACTATATGTTGACCAAATAATGAGTCTTCCAGTTATTTATTTATTTATTTTTTATTTATCTATTTATTTTTTCTAAGAAAAAGATATTACAGTTTGCCCTCAGATGTTCTCAAATGTATGGCGTTTAAGTTCTCCACAGTGAACACAGCTCAAATGAACCCACTTCTGGGGGTGAGTTCTGTTTTCACCTTGTCCTTTTCCGCTGGCGAGGCAGGCTTCAAATTTTGGACAAGGTGTACACCCACTGCTGCCTCACAGACCTCAGGACGGTACTCCTGCCGCCGCAACACTAGCCTAGCTAGACCATTCACCTTCCCAGAGTCAATGCTCCTCGGACAGAAGTGTTTTCCACACCGCTGTCCACATGTGGAACGTCTTCCTGGAGGACTGCGCTGGACAGAGACCAGACACTGGCCTTTAAGGCCGAGCCTATAAACCTTTAAAGAGAACCCTGATTGTTAAGACGTGCAGGCCCCGATATGGTGTACATGACCATTCAAATGTATCACATAAACCAGGAAAATACTTTATTTACTATTAAAAAATAGACAAAATCCTTTTACTAGTAGGCTGCCATCAAATGGTTGCTCTCATTTGTCCACTGAGCGAGGAACAGTGAGCAAAATATCTTGTTTAATAAATCCTTCAGCGTCTACAGCTTTAGCTAGAACGTGACACTCGAGAGAAACTTTGATTGTCTTGTTTTCCCCTGGCAACCATGTGATGTCATCACAGTGCGACAGTGGTAGCCAGCTAGTAGAGCAGTGGTATAAATGGGAATTTTGAATGAAACATTCCCATTTGGTTTGTATGTCTGTGGCATGCGCCCGTCGCCTGGGCCCTGATGACAACTGCCGGGGACGAATGTGAGGCAAATTGAAGTGGCCTCGCAGTGGGATTGGAGGCGGTGCTCAGAAGGTGGGGCTTGGGCCTTGCTCCGTCCCCCTCTCCCTCATGGATTCCATCCTCTCCCCACTGTCTTCACGAGGTTTCGTCCGCCTTCCTGCCGGCTCTCGCGGTTGTCATCAGGGCCCAGGGGACGGGTGCCTGCCATACTGTCGTATTTTAATAGTATTGGATGTGTTCACTGTTTTAAGGCCTACAAGTCCTAACGGTCAGGGGGAGCAGCGTAACGGTGATAGTCTTTCCTCTAACGACGTAGTAAAACACATTATAGTTAAAGTTCTCGTTCAGTTACTGACTTAATAAGAATGGGGTTCTGTGCATTACTCAGTTCAGTAGCACAGATCTGCAATTAGTGCGTAATGATACAGTAATATTACGGTAACAAATTGTACTTGGCTAGAAACTGCATGTTCATTTTCAGGTTGTTACTAGATAATAAGTTCAGGTACATTAATAAAAACATGTATAAAGATGTGTGTGGTGTGGTGAGGTTTTTCCATAACTGATCTGTGTTTTATAACACAGTAATAGTCCTGTAATAACAGCTAACAGTAAAGGAATGTGTGACTCTGTATCTCCAGAACACTTTCACAATGCAAAGGACACTTTCATCATGCAAAGGGTTCTTTGAGTGTTCATGGTTCTATATAGAACCGTTTTCTTAACTAAAGAATCTTTGAAGAACCTTCATTTTTAAGTGTGTTCTTTAGTAAAAAAACGGTCCTATATAGAACCATGAACACTCAAAGAACCCTTTGCATGATGAAGTGTTCTTTGCATCAGATTGAGGTAGAATGTGCTGGTTAGAGTCCTATACAGCACCAAAAAGTGTTCTGTTGTTGTGACAATGTCAGGCTTGTAACAATAGAAGAACCCTTTTTGGTGCTATATGGAACCATTTTCTTAACACATGTCCATGTATTTTTCTCCATGTGGGTAATTTTATATTGGCGTGAATGTTTGACTCCCCATTTGGCGACGTTCACGTATGTTACTCGCAGAATTTATAGGGAACGAGTGGTGCTGTTGTTCTAGTCCTAGGGTGATGTTTCTCGGTGTCCTGTAACAGCGTTCTGTTCTCCCGTACTGCAGATTTTTAGGTACCGCTGTACATAAAACTGTAGGTAGGATGTTAGATGGCCTAAATGACCCTGTCCTGAAAATGCTACTGGGCACTTCTGTTGCTCTTCTGCTATGGCAATGCTTTCCCGGCCCTGTGGTTTCCATGGTAACCATATATACAAAAAGTAATAAGTTCCATAGCTCACTAAAGAAGCTTTCTCCACTCAATGTCCACTTTATCAGCTCCACTGACCGTATAGTTTCACTCTGTAGTTCTACAGTTACAGACTGTAGTCCATCTGTTTCTCTGTTACCCTGTTCTTCAGTGGTCAGGACCCCCATGGACCCTCACAGAGCAGGTACTATTTGGGTGGTGGATCATTCTTAGCACTGCAGTAACACTGACATGTTGGTGTTGTGTTAGTGTGTGTTGCGCTGGTCTGAGTGGATCAGACACAGCAGTGCTGCTGGAGTTTTTAAACACCTCAGTGTCGCTGCTGGACTGAGAATAGTCCAGCAACCAAAAACATCCAGCCAACAGCGTCCTGTGGGCAGCGTCCTGTGACCACTGATGAAGGACTAGAGGATGACCAACACAAACTGTGCAGCAGCAGATGAGCTATCGTCTCTGACTTTACATCCACAAGGTGGACTGACAAGGTAGGAGTGTCTAATAGAGTGGACAGTGAGTGGACACAGTGTTTAAAAACTCCAGCAGCACTGCTGTGTCTGATCCACTCAGACCAGCAGATGATGAAGGAGCATGTTTGTCATTAATGAAACAGTCGTTCTTGTTCAGGAAAACGTTTTAAAGGAAGTGCGATTCTGAAAGTGGATCCTCCAATAAATGAACATCATTAACATCAAACTATTTAAAGCGGAGTAAAAGTGCATTTACACCTTGTTCATATTTCAGCTCAGTCATTTGGTCATCAGGTAAACATACTTTAACCTCTTATTCTCCAGGGTATGTTTTGGTTTGTCCATCTGAATTTTCATGACCAAATCGTAATGAAAGCTTATGAAATATGAAAGTTATGAAGAATATGACGAAGTGCGTTTTGGAACCACCGGTGGTCTCAAGGAGCTGAAACGTTTCTGCAAAGCTGTATCAAAACAGATGGTTTAAGTAGTTATTTTAATTAATTAAAAATAAATAAATAAATAAGAGAAAATCTAAAATGGAGTTTGAAGTATGTGTAGTCACATAATTAAATACTTGATTTTTATGGCTGCAATATAATACAATGCAAAAATATTATTTGTCAGTATTTGTATTTGTGGGATGTTATTTGTCAGTAAATGTGACTTTTATGGCCTCATTTTTCTCTATGAGGTTTACTGATGTGTGTGTTTCAGTGTCTGTTCACAAGCGCTAACATGGGACTTTTATTATATAATGTAAACATAATATTAAGACAAGGCTTTAGTTTTTAACTGTAAAGTGTTCAAATTTTGTTTTTGTTTTCGTTACGACTCTAACTCTGAGCGGAGGTGACGCAGCTCCGTGCTGCGCTCTGATTGGCTGGCTGCAGTGCTGTGTGGTCGTGCTGCAGTGTTTCGGTCTGTTTTTAAATCGCCTTTTCCCGAATTAAACTCCGTCCGGCGGCTGGACTTCAGCCCCCAGCATGGCGGACCGAGCCGAGGACGGGGGGCAGATCCAGAGCCTTAAACAGGTCCGTAACCTCTAATTACCGATTAACGCGGAGATGAACGGACTGCCGCGTCTGTTTAACCGCGTCTGTTCTCGGACCGATACTGGTCAATAATCAGGGAGGTCTGGGGTTCATCCTCGTCGACTCAGCGGGCTTTAAACAGTCTTAATCATTCTCTTACTAACAAACACAGCACTGTACACCGATCAGCCAGGACACCATGACCACCTCTGTCCACCCACTGTCCACTCACTGTCCACTCTATTAGACACTCCTACCTTGTCAGTCCACCTTGTGGATGTAAAGTCAGAGACGATAGCTCATCTGCTGCTGCACAGTTTGTGTTGGTCATCCTCTAGTCCTTCATCAGTGGTCACAGGACGCTGCCCACAGGACGCTGTTGGCTGGATATTTTTGGTTGGTGGACGATTCTCAGTCCAGCAGCGACACTGAGGTGTTTAAAAACTCCAGCAGCACTGCTGTGTCTGATCCACTCAGACCAGCGCAACACACACTGACACACCACCACCACGTCAGTGTTGCTGCAGTGCTGAGAATGATCCACCACCCAAATAGTACCTGCTCTGTGAGGGTCCATGGGGGTCCTGACCACTGAAGAACAGGGTAAAAGGGGGCTAACAAAGTATCAGAGAAACAGATGGACTACAGTCTGTAACTGTAGAACTACAAAGTGCACCTATACAGTAAGTGGAGCTGATAAAATGGACAACCTTAAATGGTGCAGCAGTTACATTCTGGCCCCTCAGGCACCATTTAAGGTGGAACTGGAATATTCGAACAAGAAGTTGGCGAATAAGAAGCGACTTCAGCCTCATAAAAATCAAATGTTTAGAGACATTTTACAAGATCCTCTACTTTCGCAGAAAAGTTTCCTGCTGGAGATGCGAGAAAAGCAGATAGCTTAGCTAGAGCTGAGCTAAAGATTAAAGCAGAGCAAACTGAGTCTGTTTTCGTTTATTTTATGTTTTTTATCCCATTCTAGGACATCAGCACACACTGAGACATATTTACAGCCAAGACGGTAAACAGACATAAATGTTGTGGCTCCCAAAGTGGCTTGATTTTTGTTGAAAAGACAGAATGGCTCTTCTTAACATTTGGGTCGTGACCCCTGGTTTAGAGTAAGAGTGCAAAACTGGGGCATCCGTCACTTCATGCTGTTATGATGTCTGATCTCTAACGCCGTGTGTTGCTGTTCTCGACTGCAGGAGGTGGAAGATGGTCCGTCTGAGCAGCTCTCCTGTAAGACGGAGCTGAACCCTGTGGAGATCCTGGAGTTTGTGTTTAACGGTGAGGAGGAGCTCATGAAGCAGGAGGAGGAGGATGAACTGAACACCAAACCAGCACTGGAGCCTGACTGGAGCAGCGGAGACCAGCCCGCACTGGAACCACCAGTACAGCTGAATGGAGACGACGTCGTCGTTAAGGAGGAGGACGTTCTGGACGGCGGTGAAGACGGTCCAGAGAACCATGAAGATGTTCCTACAGGTAAACCATTGTTATGTTTTCAGTGATGATGATTCCGTGAATGACCGTGAGGTGGGCTACGATCCAGTCATGAGTTATTTCGTCAAATGGTATGAAGATGTATGATTTAAAAATAGACAAGCTAAAATGTATTATTATTTATTTATGTGTTTATTTATTATTATTATAGAAAATAATAGAATAAACTAAAAAGAGAAAGTTTGTGAACGAACTTGAAGTTGGCTTAAAAGCCAGCTAATTACTTCAGAATGTTAAACGGGTGGAAGACTGTGAAAGGTTGCCAAAGTGTTGCTTGGTGGTTATTATGGTATCCAAGGTGGGTGGTAAGGTGTTTCTAGGTGGTTGCTATGGTATCCAAGGTGGGTGGTAAGGTGTTTCTAGGTGGTTGCTGTGGTGTCCCAGGTTGTTGCTAAGGTGTTGCTAGGTGGTTGCTATGCTATTAAACACTAACAATGTTTTACTATCCGGTGTCGACCAGAGGAGGATGGGTTCCCCTTCTGAGTCTTGGTTCCTCTCAGTGTTTCTTCCTGTTTCTCTTAGGGAGTTTTTCCTTGCCACTGTTGCCACTGGCGACGCTCATGGGGGCTCGGACCCGGATTTTTCTGTAAAGCTGCTTTGTGACAACACCTGTTGTAAAAAGCGCTATATAAAAAAACTTTGCTTGCTGGCTTAAATATGCTGGTACCTTAAATCCACTGATACTTTAAATCTATTGCTAATTCAAATCCAATGGTATCTTAAATGCACTGCTACCTCAAATCTATCAAATTTCATGATGTTCCCTCTGCAAAATGGGCTTCAATTGAGTGAGTAATAGTGGGTCTTGATGGAATTTCGATATGGTCATATAGTGAGTGTCGCTGATAGTTTCACTCACTAATACATCACAGTACAGGAGAAGAATCAGTTATGATTTATAATTCCACAATAACTTTAAGGGTGTTTTCACACTAGAGCCTTTTTCAGCAGGACCACTTGCTCTGTGAGTTCAGTACAGTTGTTTGAGTGTAAAAGCTGTTTTTGAACCCAGGACCAGAACAGAGATCCGATCTCTGAATCTTCTACCAGAGGAAGAGCTGATGTCCAGGATGAGAGGGGTCAGCTGTAGTTTTGCTGGTGCTCTGCTGTTGTAGATGTCCTGAAGTGTTGGTAGAAACATCCCATGATCCTCTCCGGTGTCCTGATTATGCTCAGGAGTTCTCGTTCTTGTGAGGTGGAGGAACCAAACCAGATGGTTATGATGATGTGAGGTCGGACTCGCCGCGCGTGTAGAAGCTCTCTGCTCCCGGTTCTGCATGTGGGGCTGCGTGGTTGGTTCATTCTGTAATGTGATGCTTTGACTTATCGCATCACTTCCCTTTTCGAGGGTGGTGATGGGGAGAGATGGCTGTGGACAGAAAGAGCTGCTCTTCACCGCTTCAGTGTTTGTATCTAAGGAAAACGATGAAAAGCAGCAAATGGATGAAGCTGCTGACCGTCCTGGAAACCGGCACGCAGGTTCACGATTCAGATGGAGTTCTTTTGTGTGAAAGCAAACCAGTGATAATGAGCTCCTCCCCCAGACAAGCCCAGAATCAGTCCTGGGTGTGGACTCAAGTATCTGGGACAAGAGTGAAAACAGCCTAAAACAACTGTGTAGACGTATCTGTGGAGCAGTGTTTTAAACTGGGGATCTTCTGGGCTGAATGGAGATCAGCGTCACCCTCCTTTCACGCTCTGAATTCAGTTAATGAAGGTCTAATTAGCTGAAGAGCTGAATCAGGCGTGTGTAATGAGGCAGAGTGCTGAAGTCTGCAGTGTTCTGCTCCACCAGGAGTCTGACACGTGACCCACACAGTGCCTGAGACCTGCACTGATGGAATAAAACTAGACGTATTCCAAAATTCTAGAAAAGCTGATGATATACAGTAATGTAAAAAGGGCGTCACCACAGGACAGGGCTCATTTTAAACTTTTAATCTCTGACCACCTTCAGACAGACTGGAGCTGTTTTAGCTGAGTTTAACTTTTCTTTTCTCCTTTTATTTAATTTCATTATCTTTTATTTTATCTCACTGTTTTATTGCAACTTTATCTGACATTAAATCTATCATTTTTGTAACTGGTTCTTTTGTTATATTCTTGTTTTGGTCTTAGGAAGAGATGATGATGATGATGATGATGATGAGGACGAGAGCGGAGAGGAGCAGGAACAGAGCTCGCTGAAATCTCATCAGTGCCCTGAATGTGGGAAAACCTTCCGGTTTGCCTCGGTCCTGAAAGTTCACCTGAGAACTCATACCGGAGAGAAGCCCTTCCCCTGCTCGCAGTGCGGGAAGAGGTTCTCCTCCGTGAAGAGTCTGACGGAGCACCTGTACACTCACAGTGGAGAGAAACCTCACAGGTGCTCGGTCTGCGAGAGGGGCTTCAGAACGGCCACGAACTTAAGAGCTCACGAAATGACTCACTCTGTCCAAAAGCCGTTCAGCTGCTCCGACTGCGGCCGGGGATTTTCCAGGTTGAGCAACCTTAAACTCCACATAATGATCCACAAAGGTGAAAGACCTTTCCCTTGCACCCAGTGCGGGATGAGTTTCACTTCGGCTCACGTTCTAAAGAAGCACGCCTACATACACGCCGGACCTCACCAGTGCCCTGACTGCGGGAAGGTCTTCAGCGTTTTGCCGGAGTTCAAAGCGCACCAAAGAATTCACACAGGCGACAATCCGCTTACCTGCGCCGAGTGCGGGAGAGGCTTTTGGAGGAAGAGGGACTTCAAGGCCCACATGAGAATCCACACTGGAGAACAGCCTTCCTGCACCCAGTGCGGGAAGACCTTCACCAGCACTAGCACCCTAACCCACCACCTGAAGCTTCACGCAGGACTCAAACCCCATCAGTGCTCCCAGTGCGGGAAGAGCTTTGTGTGCCTCTCCGAGTTAAAATTACACCAAAGAATTCACACCGGAGAAAAGCCTTTCAGCTGCACTCAGTGCGACAAGAGTTTCACCAGTGCGGACTCTCTGAAGAGCCACATGGTCATTCACACGGAAGACAAACCTCACCAGTGCTCCGAGTGCGGGAAGAGTTTCAAACGTCCCTCAGAGTTGAAGGTGCACCGGAAGATTCATTCCGGAGAGAAGCCGCACACCTGCTCCCAGTGCGGCAAGAGCTTCCGCAGGTCCAGCGACCTTAAAATTCACGTGAGGTTCCATACGGGAGAAAAACCCTTCGTCTGCGGCGAGTGCGGGAAGAGATCTGCGACAGCGGGTCACCTTCAGATCCACATGAGGATGCATTCTGGAGAGAAGCCGTACGTCTGCTCGGAGTGCGGCAAAGGCTTTGTTACGTTGTCGCATCTCAAATCCCACCTGTACGTCCATACGGGGGAAAAGCCGTACCAGTGCTCCGAGTGCGGGAAGGGCTTTTCCCAGCTGAGCAACTTGAAAACACACCGCAAAACCCACCGACCAAAGTCCTGAGGTCGCATTGTTACCCCTTCAAAGCCAGTGGCTGCAAAGCATGCTGTAATTAGGATTATGGCTGAAACAGCGGCGATCCTGGGATATATGGCGATATGGCAAAAATATAATATCGCAATACATAGAGAAATTTTCACGATGCACGATATTTCACAATATTTTTTTTTTTTCTGACAATGACGATGACGATATATATTGTCATATTGCCTAGCCCTAGGGCCTTACTCCTTGTTTTGGGACCTTCAAGTTCAAAGAACTGAGTGATGATCTCTAATATCTAAATAAAGAGAACATGTTGGTGAGCATCAACCACTACTGCGTATTTCATTCAGTACGTTTTAAATTCAGTTGGTGAAACGTCTGATCAGGAAGATTATTGTTTCATACAAACGTTCATGAGCACCACAGCACAAGAAGTTGTCTGAAATGTAAAGAATAAACAAATGTAGATTTCAGTATTTGAGTACTGTAATCTCAGTGGTTAACAGAGTGGTAGAGCACCCATACACATCCCTAATGTCCACTTCCTGTCGCACTAGGAGTAGATTAGCATTGGACCAGCATCACTCTAGACAGGCATGTCAAACTGGAGACCTTCCAGGCCGAAGTGCTGCAGGAATCAGTGTTCACCCTCATCTAACTCTCTGAATTCAGTTGACAAAGGCCTAATTAGCTGAAGAGCTGAATCAGGTGTGTTTAATGAGGCCGAGTGCTGACGTCTGCAGTGTTTTGGTCCATGAGGACTGGAGCCTGACGTGCTCTGGGGGTTGTAAATGGACAGAAAGTGAAAGCCAGCTGGAGCCGCATCACAGTTTCTGCCTAGAGCTGGAGTTCTCAACCTTCTGCATCTCAAGGTCCACCTGTTTATAACAGGAAAACAGAGAGAAATCCCACAAGAATTCAAACCTTTCGAATAACGTTATTTCTCTTTTATTAAGTGCTGACGATAAAGATCTGAGAATGAGGTCCTGAAAAAGATCAGATGGTCCATTTTAATCACAGAAACTGTAATATGTAAGTCAACCGTTTTATTGTTGTCCACAGAGAAGGTAGCAAACAAAAAACTGGAACAAAAGAAAAGCAAACCGAGGAAGGTACTGAAGAAATGAAAAGAAAAAAGGGAAGAACAGAGGACAAAAATAACACTGTGTCCACTCAATGTCCACTCTATTAGACACTCCTACCTTGTCGGTCCACCTTGTAGATGTAAAGTCAGAGACGATAGCTCATCTGCTGCTGCACAGTTTGTGTTGGTCATCCTCTAGTCCTTCATCAGTGGTCACAGGACGCTGCCCACAGGACGCTGTTGGCTGGTTGTTTTGGTTGGTGGACTATTCTCAGTCCAGCAGCGACACTGAGGTGTTTAAAAACTCCAGCAGCACTGCTGTGTCTGATCCACTCAGACCAGCACAACACACACTAACACACCACCACCACGTCAGTGTTACTGCAGTGCTGAGAATGACCCACCACCCAAATAGTACCTGCTCTGTGAGGGTCCATGGGGGTCCTGGCCACTGAAGAACAGGCTAACAGAGAAACAGATGGACTACAGTCTGTAACTGTAGAACTACAAAGTGCACCTATATAGTAAGTGGAGCTGATAAAATGAACAATGAGCGTAGAAACAAGGAGGTGGTCAGAATGTTATGCTTGACCGGTGTACACAGGAATAACAAGTCGAACTAGGAATCAGTAAAACACTCTATAAACGACGCCAATTTATCAGTTCAAATGCACCTGTTGCTGGGCAGAAATACGCTGTTATTTTACTGCTCTGCTGTTATTAACAGCAGCTCTGCTGCAGGAACGATATGAGCGTCTATCAAGAGTCGGCCGTTAAAACGGGCAGATTCTAAGGACTGTCCAGCTCAGACGCACTGCTGCAAGACCAGAAAAGCGTACGCTGATGTTAAATTCCCTCGTTTGGAGCGGATCATCATAAAAATGCGTTCCCACTGACAGTGAGCTGAACCAGGGGTCTCCTGGAAGCAAACCGGGACCCTCGGTTTTCGCCTTAGAATAGTTCAGCGTGTGGCTGTGTTTACTGTGTAGCCTACAGTCCTACTGAACACAGTTCAGATGGAAAATGATGATCAGGGTTAGACCTGAGATTGTGACTAGAGTTACAGGGTAGAAGAGGTTCCTCGATAATCCAGTGTGTTTCCGTCAACACATTGAAAGTTAGGAGGAGAATTTCATAGTTCTAAACAGAACCACAGAACCCGGTTCCTTTTGCACCATAAACACTCTTAACACGCATTCAACTTGTGTTTACAGATCTCTGGGGACTTTTTCTATGGTAAGTATCTGAGTTTATACATTTAATGCTTTTCATTGATTTATAATGACACAAAAATTAACAATTAACCTTTAAATAATCAGTTAATAAACAGATCTGAGCAAATGTCGTTTCATCTGATTAATTTTGTGTTGGAATAACTTTATGAATGAAATCATGGCCAGAAATATTGGCAAAAACAGTTGAAATGGTGAAAAGAATCTTCCCACGGTTCTGTACTTCACTGATAATGTCACAGTACTGAAGGGGTTCAGTTGTGCTTAGTTGTGTTTTCAGTGGGTTCACTGTAGAATTTCAGTACTCAGCCTTAATGAGAGCATTTTAAATATTAGTATTAATTATATATATAAAAATGCAAATTATATTATTTAGGTTTTTCATTTTCACCCACAAACATCCCTCCTGTTAGTAATTAAGGAGGAACATTTTTACTACATATTCTTAATATAGTTTCATGTAGAACTGTACATAAAGCCACTAGCAACACCTTAGCAATCACCTGGGATACCACAGCAACCAGTTAGCAACACCTTAGCAATCACCTGGGATACCATAGCAACTACATGGGATACCCTAACAACCACCTAGTAACATCCTATCAACACCTTAGCAACCACCTGGGACACTAAAGCAACCATCTTGCAACACTAGCAACCATCAGGAATATCATAGCAACCACTTAGCAATCACCTAGCAACACCCTAGCAACCACTTAGCAACACCTTAGCAATCACCTGGGATACTATTAGCAACGCTTTAGCAATCACCTGGGATACTATTAGCAACGCCTTAGCGATCACCTGGGACACGCAATAGCAACCAATTAGCACCCTTGGCAACCACATGAGATACCCTAGCAACCACCTAGTAACATCCTATCAACACCCTAGCAACCACCTAGGATACCATAGCAACCATCTATAATATCATAGCAACCATTTAGCATCCACCTAGCAACACCCTAGCAATACCTAAGCAATCACCTGGGATACCATAGCAACCACACAGCAGCTCTGTAGACCATCTGGAGCTCAATCTGCTCAGTCACTGTTCCTTCATGTTTGTTCTGCTGTCTGTTCTGACCGCTCTGCACTCTGATCATCTGGACTGGTCACTCTGTTCTGACCGCTCTGCACTCTGATCATCTGGACTGGTCACTCTGTTCTGACCGCTCTGCACTCTGATCATCACTGGTCGCTTGTATCTCAGTGCTGCGCTGCTGGTGAACCATATCAAGCGTGGCTTATTCACATTTGAACTGGTTTAAATCATGAGAAAGGAGACTCCATGTGGCCTAATGTAGACTTCCAGCTCTGCTGCTTACACTCTACTAGTTTTAATCGTTCTATTAACCATCCAAAAGATCACACAATGGGGTGTGAAGACTTTTATTTTGAAAAAGGCTCCCGGAATTATTTCCCACAGTTTTGGCTGGATTCACTGCGCTGCTCTCGGTGTTTACACACGTGTGTTTTTCTCCCTCCGTAGATTTAACTGAAATGAATCTGATCTAAATCTGATACGAATGATTGGTTTCCTGATTTAATCTCTGCTGTGATCAATGTTTTAAACTGTCAGTGTCTCCAGCTCATCTCAGCAGATCAGGGCAAGAGCAGAAGATGGTCAAAGAGGTTTGTTATCATTATTATTATTATTATTATTATTATTCAGAGCTGAGATTATATATATATATATATATATACATATATATATATATATATATATATATATATATATATATATGCATGTATATCTCAGTTATTGCAGTGGAAAAGGAGGAAAAATGCTCCACAGTGAGCTGCAGGATATGAGCCATAATAAAATCAAACCCTCCATGAAACTGTTTGCACTCAGCTTCACCTCTGTACTGATAAACAGTGCAGGTGGATTTGCAGTTAACCCTGTTGTTCTCTTTGTGGTCAGTGTGACCCCTTTAATGTTGACCCCCTCACAATCTCAGTCTTATTACACACTAAGCCTTATTATTTAGTCTCTACAGTGCAAACTGGCTGAGCTGTTCTTAGCTTATAGAGGTGTGTAATAACACTTTGGGCCCACCGGCGGACCCTGGCCATGTAAGGGGTTAACTGGATGTAGTGCAGCTCAGTGTGTGAAATGTTGAATACAAATATTTGGACCCATAGTTTTAGATGTTATTTTTCAAATCTGGCATTATTTTTTCTGCTCCAACTCCTAAGATGCCGGAAAAAATAAATTTTGTGACAAACTGTGTATCGTAAAAAACTTCCTGAAGTATCGTGATATTACATTTTCCACATCGCCCACTTCTATTAACCCTTAAGTGTCCAGGACTGGGCCCAAAGTGTTATTACACACTTCTATAATCTAAGCATAGCTCAGCCAGTATGCATTGAAGTCCCTGTCGTTACTGAATAATAAGCCTTAGTGCGGCCTTAGACTGGGATTTTAAGGGGTTGAACATCTAATGGGGTCAAATGGAGCCCAATGACGGGTCACATGCAGATCCTCACATATTTAGTTTTTCAGTAAAGAGGTGAACTGGAGTGAAAACGGTGTAATAGAGGGTTTGTTTTAATTTTGGCTTGTATTCTGCGTCTCACTGTGGAGCAGTGACATCACTGCATTTCACATTTGTCCACTGTATTGACTGATTTTTAGTCTGGCAGGAATTCCTCTCCATAAAATTCAACTCAGATTTAGAGGGTTTTAAACAGGCAGTGCCGCTGTGTGGCCTGTAGATGGTGCTGTTGTGTTTAAAATGACCTGCAGTCTCGGTTATTTTAACAGTCCAGTTTTGTTTCCACATGTGATGTAACATACTGTACTGTACAGGCAAAAAATGTGATCAAACATCTGCTTATTTCTAAAATAAACTTACTGTAAAAACTTTTATAAAAGTATTACGTTCTCAGCATAACCCAGCAGACTACTTTGTTGCACTTCTGACATATTATATGATTAAACATTAATGTGGAATCCACAAATGTTCAAAATGTCCATATAATTAAGTGGTTAAGATGTAAACAGAGCGGTTCAGAGTGGTTCAGAGTGGTTTGGTGTGAAACGCTCCATTCTAGATAAACTTACCGAGTCAGAACTGTTCACAGTGGTGGTGATAGGAACCAGACGTCCACCTCTAAAAGCTCCCTCACAGAAAGTTCCTACATGAAATGGTTATGAATTCACTGCCTGATGACTGAGACACTGTTTTATGATAGTTTAGAGAACTTAAACTCCATTCATGGTGGAGGGATACATGCAGGGCACTGTGAGGCAAAATAGTCCCCAAAGAAAACGTATTATTTCAGATTTTCCACTATTTTCATCATCAACATTCCATATAAACTCAGAAAACCCGTGTAGGTTCACTGGTGGTTCTGGATAGTAAATAAAATGTCTATATTTGTGTTGTAGTCATGGCGACCCCTGGTTCCTATCACCACCACTGTAAAGACATCTGAACCATTTCACACCAAACCACTCTGAATCAGTCTGATTACATCTCACACATTCAGTTATGGGGGAATTTTGGAAAATCTGTTTGTGTGTTGCTGTTCTTGACTGCAGGAGGTGGAAGATGGTCCGTCTGAGCAGCTCTCCTGTAAGACGGAGCTGAACCCTGTGGAGATCCTGGAGTTTGTGTTTAAGGGTGAGGAGGAGCTCATGAAGCAGGAGACACCACAGCTGAATGAAGACTCTACAGTGAAGGAGGAAGACTATGATGAAGATGTTAAAGCTGAGCAGGATTCTGAACCTGTTCACACAGGTGAGCTCATATCACAGTAATGAGGGTCCTCACTTTTTAATAAGAGGGTCTGAGGCAGTATTTTAACATAGAACTTCAGAACAGTCCATATGCAGCCTACAGCAGTTTAGCTCCACCATTCAGTCTACAGCAGTTTAGCTCCACCATTCAGTCTACAGCAGTTTAGCTCCACCATTCAGCTACAGCAGTTTAGCTCCACCATTCAGCTACAGCAGTTTAGCTCCACCATTCAGCTACAGCAGTTTAGCTCCACCATTCAGCTACAGCAGTTTAGCTCCACCATTCAGTCTACAGCAGTTTAGCTCCACCATTCAGCTACAGCAGTTTAGCTCCACCATTCAGCTACAGCAGTTTAGCTCCACCATTCAGCTACAGCAGTTTAGCTCCACCCATTCAGTCTACAGCAGTTTAGCTCCCACCATTCAGTCTACAGCAGTTTAGCTCCACCATTCAGCTACAGCAGTTTAGCTCCACCATTCAGCTACAGCAGTTTAGCTCCACCATTCAGTCTACAGCAGTTTAGCTCCACCATTCAGCTACAGCAGTTTAGCTCCACCCATTCAGTCTACAGCAGTTTAGCTCCACCATTCAGCCTACAGCAGTTTAGCTCCACCATTCAGTCTACAGCAGTTTAGCTCCACCCATTCAGCTACAGCAGTTTAGCTCCACCATTCAGCTACAGCAGTTTAGCTCCACCCATTCAGTCTACAGCAGTTTAGCTCCACCATTCAGCTACAGCAGTTTAGCTCCACCATTCAGCTACAGCAGTTTAGCTCCACCCATTCAGCTACAGCAGTTTAGCTCCACCATTCAGCTACAGCAGTTTAGCCCCACCATTCAGTCTACAGCAGTTTAGCTCCACCATTCAGTCTACAGCAGTTTAGCCCCACCATTCAGCTACAGCAGTTTAGCCCCACCATTCAGTCTACAGCAGTTTAGCCCCGCCCATTCAGTCTACAGCAGTTTAGCTCCACCATTCAGCTACAACAGTTTAGCTCCACCATTCAGCCTACAGCAGTTTAGCCCCGCCTGTTTCAGCAGGAATACTTTTTGAACAAGGCACAATACAGGCCAGCCAATGAGAACAGAGCGTGTTTACATATATCAGTAAATCCTAAAAGTCATACATATCTTAAATGTCACAGTAATAGTTTTAAATCAAAATAAATATCAAAAATTAAATTTTTGCTTGTAAAAACTGAATTCTTGAAATTCAGTCTTTACTAGTAAAATTTAATTTTTGACATCAAGATGTGAATTTTTACTATTCCATTTTTCCCAAATTCCATTTTTACTAGTAGAAATTAAGTTTCTCATGTGTAAATTGAATTCGTACCATCAAGAAAAGTAATAAAAGTTAAAACGGTTTGCATGACGTTTGCCCATTTTGTGAGGAGCTCATTGACACTTGCAGATATTACACCTGCTTGTTTATGTCACAGCAAAAGGAGCCCAGCAATTTTTAAAATTTAAGCATGTAAATTTTTTTAATTGAAGAATAAATAATGTAGTTTGCACTGTATATAGTTTTGCTGCAAAAGAAATCGCATCGTTTATTCGCGTCACGTTCGGTGTGTAACAGCCTTTGGACTTCGAAGTGATAATGCTGAGGCAACCCTAATGTCGTAGTGAAACATCCATACAGTGTTTCCAAACGAATTCCTGAATGCTGTTGTACTTTGTGTTTTCTCCTCAGGCGCTGCTGAAGTGGTGAAAGATGAGATTAAAAAGGAAAACGAAGTTTCGGAAGATTCTCACCTGAAAAGTCCGACAGCTGAGGCGGTGATGGACGACGGTGGAGGAGAGCGGATTTCCTGTTCACAGTGTGCGAAGAGTTTTAGAACCGTTTTTTCTCTGAAGCTACACCTGAAAACTCACAACAGCAAACCCTTTACTTGCTCTCAGTGTGGGCGGGGTTTCAAGTTCAAAGGTCACCTGAAAAAGCACCTGCTCACACACACTGGAGGAGACGAGGAACCCCTGGCGTGTTCCCGGTGTGGGGAGAGTTTCGAAAGCGTTTCGGATCTCAAAAGTCATGAAGAAACTCATACCGATGAAAACACACACAGTTGCTCCGAATGCGGAAAGCGTTTCACCTCCAAAGGGTCCCTGGTTTACCACAGGAGGATACATACCGGGGAAAAGCCCTACCAGTGCGGCGAGTGCGGGAAGGCCTTCAGAAGTTCCTCGGTGCTCAAAGAACATAAGCGGATTCACACCGGAGAGAAGCCGTTCGAATGCCCGCAGTGCGGGAAGAGCTTTAATAAGAAAAGGCACCTGTCCAGTCACGCCGTAATTCATACCGGAGAAAAACCCTACCAGTGTTTTCAGTGCGGCAAGAGCTTCTCGCGGACCACTTCCCTCAAGATCCATCAGACGACGCACAGCGGAGAAAAGCTGTTCGTTTGCGCTCAGTGTGGGATGAGGTTCACCACCAGAGGGTCTCTAGCGTATCACGTGCGAATTCATACCGGAGATAAACCTTACCGCTGCCGCCAGTGCGGGAAAAGTTACTCCAAACCAGGACACCTGAGGATCCATATGATGAGCCACACTGGAGAAAAGCCCTTCGCCTGTCCGCAGTGCGGGAAGAGTTTCTCGCTTCCGTGCAACCTCAGGACTCACATGAGAGTTCATACCGGAGAAAAGCCCTTCACCTGCGCTCAGTGCGGGAAGCAGTCTTCAACGATACAGCTGCACAAATCCCACATGATCGTCCACGACACGGAAAAGCCGTACGCTTGCGCTGAGTGCGGGAAGACTTTTTCACACTCCAGTAGCTTTAAAGCCCACCTGAGGGTCCACAGTGGAGAGAAGCCTTTCGTGTGCGATCGCTGTGGGAAGAGTTTCAAGCACTCGAGCAGCCTTAGCGTCCACAGGAGGATTCATACCGGAGAGAAGCCGTTCGCCTGCCATCGGTGCGGGAAGTGCTTTACGCAGTCGGGCTCACTCAAGCTCCACCAGAGAGAACGGTGCGGGTCAAAACCAGCTTCTCTCAGCTGAGCTCCGAGGCTGATGTAGCTAGCACACATTGGAAATGTGTTAGCATGATGCTAACTGCATGTCTAAATCGTCACTCGCTTCCCTCTGACTGTATGATGGTGATCAGTGTCTCTAACAGTCTTGATACGTGGTTTCTGACACTGTAAGACTCACTGTTACCTATAAACATGAGCTAAAGTGTGTTAGCGTTGTTTACTATCCGGTGTGGTCCAGAGGAGGATGGGTTCCCCTTTTGAGTCTTGGTTCCTCTCAGTGTTTCTTCCTGTTTCTCTTAGGGAGTTTTTCCTTGCCACTGTCGTCATTGGCGACACTCATGGGGGCTCGGACCCGGATTTTTCTGTAAAGCTGCTTTGTGACAACACCTGTTGTAAAAAGCGCTACATACATAAACTTTGACTTGACTCGCTAAACACAGTAGAGTAACAGTGAGTCAAACAGTGTCAGAAACCACAGTCAAGACTATTAGAGATACTGAACACCTCCACACAGTCAGAGGTGAGTGAGTGATGAGTTAGACATACAGTTAGCGCCATGCTAACTGGTAGAATATGAGCTTCCATTACTTGTTAGCTACATTAGCCTCTTAGCTCCAGTGCTGAAACTAAATAAGCAGACTCAGGACTCTAAACATTAGCTGATGGACTATTTGTGCCACCTGTCTGTATTCACGTACAGTTTTTCTTTGATTGTGTACTTTTGACTGTAATTTTGTACCAACTTTTTGTTAATTAGCGATTGCGCATTGCACTTTTGTTATCCAATTTATATTCTTCTTCTTATTATTATTATTATTTTTCTGCCAGATTTTTGTTTGCTAACCCGATCCTTGTTTTCTCAAAATATCGACTCCATTTCAACTCCGGAATGTTCGGTCTGATCGGGAATGGTGTGCTTTTGATACAGCTTTTTGATTGGATGTTTTTTCCCATAAGAACGAATGAGGGGCAAATGTTTGTGCACCCAGCTTATATAACAACGGTACCAGTCCATTAGCAACACCCCAGTAATCATGTGAGGTATTAAAGCAACCCCCAGCCACCACCTGTGACACCATAGCAAACGCCTAGCAACCCCCTAGCAACCACATGGGATACCACAGCAACCAACCTGAGTTACCATAGCAACCTCATAGCAATCTCATAGCAACACCATAGCAACAACCTGGAATAACATAGCAACTACCTAGCAACCACCTGAGATACCATAGCAACCTTGTAGCAACACCATCATAGCAACCATTCTCAAATTGCTTAAGCTGTGCAATCTCTCTGCATTGTCTTCAGGAAATATACTTTTACAGTTACAGATTGAAGTGCATGATAAGATCAAAAATTCAAAAAGTTTACAAATCCCAAATATTTAAAATATTACAGTATGTATTGATATTGATTTTTCAGTTGTTTCTGGAAGATTTTAGGTTTGGAGAATCATGAAAAACTCCTGTAAACAGAACCAGCGAAAGGTTTTAGGTCACCTTTGTGTATAAACTGTACTACAATCACTTAATGTATCATTTTGTGTCGTATTATTAATTTTATGCCTTTTATTAATAATTCTTTGGAACAAGTTTGTTGCTCTGTTTTTTGAAGGAAATCCAAAAACTCCTAGAAGAGAACTTTTCTGTTTGTCCTTCCGAGGTGGAGCCCAACATTTCAATCAGTGTTTGTGCAACGTCAGATTTTTAAGGTGGTCAGTTTTGTGATGAAAGTCGAGTTGATGTCGACTAATCGCTGATGACATCATGTACAAAACCAGGAGAAGGGAACGATCTGAAAAAAGCCACTTTAAAAATCTGACTGTGAAAATCTGTGATGAAGCCAAACCCCACAGGTCAGGGCGTGATGCACCATTTCCAGCTGGGGACGAGCTCTGTGATGTTGATCCAGTATGAATCTGCCTTGTCTGTAGTTTTTACAGTCTGCTCAGTAATAATTCCAGAGTGAATGACCTCCTGTAATTCTCCAAACTCAGAGCTCCTCAGTATCAGCAGTCCTGCTTGAATCCACATCTCAGCAACGTAATAAAACCTGAAGGTAGAAAACTGACGAGTCGCATCCTATTCGTCAGACTCTTGTCCAAATTCTCCCATCCACCTTAAGTGGTGCAGCACTTACATTCTGGCGTCTCGGTTACTGCTGGTGGAACGCGAGAATTCGGACAAGAAGCTGGTGAATAAAAAGCCAACTATAACTTCGTAGAAAACAGTGCCTCCCTTTATTTGCGAGGCTAACAGCTAAAACAGAGCTCGATTTGACCAAATTCCTTAATTCTCATGGCAAGATAAGGTGGAGGAATTACAACTACATTCAGATGTTCACTCATACATACTCATCTCTGTTCCAGCGTCTCACTGGAAGTAACCGCTGTAAAGTCGTCTTTCTGAAGGGGAAAACTGGAAGGTGATGGCCGAGACTTCTTAGAAAAATTTTTCTTCACTAGCCTAATGCTAGTCTGTTTGACATTTAGCCTCACAGTGTGTTGTCATTGTTGGGAAGTGTGGCTCCTGTCGCATAATACTGAGCTAAACATCTGTGTGTCTTGACTTCATTATTTTTAGTACCCCAAACACAACGCAATGTAAAGTTCTGAAGGCTTGGCAGAACCTGTTTAGGCCTAGTTACTTCTTCTAAGCTGCGGTTGGACAGTCAGTGTTTAACTGTGTGAATCAGTTCTCTGCAGCGCCACCCAGAGGCAGATCAGTGCTACAGAAGCTTGCCATTTCAAAGGTAAGTAGGCTAAAGTACAACACCATAACAGTGACATTCTTCTTGATCTCTCAGCAGCTTTTGACATGGTCAGCCATACAATCTTTCTGGACGTCCTCACCAACCTCAGAACCACTGGCTCTGCCTGGAAGTGGTTCAAGTCCTTTCTGGAGGGTCGGTGTTAGCAGGTAACATGGAGAGGGTCCTCTCCATGCAGCCTCTCCACTGGTGTCCCACAAGGCTTGGTGCTACTCATCCCTGCAACTACAGGTCCTCATCATGATCTCACCATCTCATTCGAGAATTCTCTGATTGTTCCGTCTGAAGATTCTGGATGGCCAGTTATCTTTCTCAGCTCAAATCACAAACCTGACTCACTATGCAGGTTTCTCCTGTACAACATCCAGAGGATTTTGGAAGTGGCCAGGGAGTGGAAGCATAAGGTGGGTGTTTCCAATAAAGTGGCCAGTTAGTGGAAGCATAAGGTGGGTGTTTCTAATAAAGTGGCCAGGGAGTGGAAGCACAAGGGGGGTGTTTCTAATAAAGTGGCCAGGGAATGGAAGCACAAGATAAGTGTTTCTAATAAACTGGCCAGTTAGTGGAAGCACATGGGGGGTGTTTCTAATAAAGTGACCAGGGAGCGGAAGCATAAGGTGGGTGTTTCTAATAAAGTGGCCAGGGAGTGGAAGCACAAGGGGGGGTGTTTCTAATAAAGTGGCCAGGGAATGGAAGCACAAGATAAGTGCTTCTAATAAACTGGCCAGTTAGTGGAAGCACATGGGGGGTGTTTCTAATAAAGTGGCCAGGGAGTGGAAGCATAAGGTGGGTGTTTCTAATAAAGTGGCCAGTTAGTGGAAGCATAAGGTGGGTGTTTCTAATAAAGTGGCCAGGGAGTGGAAGCACAAGGGGGGTGTTTCTAATAAAGTGGCCAGGGAATGGAAGCACAAGATAAGTGTTTCTAATAAACTGGCCAGTTAGTGGAAGCACATGGGGGTTGTTTCTAATAAAGTGGCCAGGGAGTGGAAGCACAAGGGGGGTGTTTCTAATAAAGTGGCCAGGGAATGGAAGCACAAGATAAGTGTTTCTAATAAACTGGCCAGTTAGTGGAAGCACATGGGGGTTGTTTCTAATAAAGTGACCAGGGAGTGGAAGCACATGGGGGTTGTTTCTAATAAAGTGGCCAGTGAGTGGAAGCACAAGGGGGGTGTTTCTAATAAAGTGGCCAGGAAACACAAGGCAGGTGGTGCTGTTTACTCCAGCTGAGACTGAACGGTCCCTCTGTGAGCTCTCATATTGCAGCACTACAGCAGAGCTTCCTCTGCTGAATCAAACTGAAACTGGTATGATTGAGGAGCCGCCCATGAACAGCCCACCGCTGTGTCAGCTCAGAGTTAATGTTCAGTGACGTGTGCGTGTGTGTGTGTGTGTGCGTGCGTGTGTGTGCGTGTGTGTGCGTGTGTGTGTGTGTGTGTTTTTTTACTGAAGGTCTGACGGAGGAGTTTCAGGAAGTGGACTGACTCTTCATGAAAGCTGTTGGGTTAAAACTTTCTGAACCTCCTCACAGACTCCTGAGACGGCGAGGTGAGTCAGATCTAATGCTTAATTCACCAGAACTGAGCATTAACTCTGAAATAGAAGAGTGCTGCGGTCAGTCAGAGAGAAAAGCTCTGGTGTACGAGGAGAACATGCACCTCAAAATGGTGAATGACCACATTCTCTCTCCGACTGGTAACAGCAGTGGAACCATTTTTGGCTCTAGAGTGGGACCCAGGAACTATTTGTGCCTTCCTTTCAAATACGTTCATTCTATTAGGAAACTAAAGATCAATCCACATGACGTTTATTCTAAACAGACTGCTCAAAAATTATGGTTCTTTAGTGGTTCTTTAGTAAAGATAATGGCTCTTAATAGGACCATGAACACTCTGCATGGTGAAATGGTTCTTCAGTTTGATAGAGAATGTGTTGTATATGGTTCTGTATAGCACAAAAAACGGTTTTGTTATTGTTACAAATTTGACATTGTAACAGTCAAAGAACCCTTTTTGGTGCTTTATAGAACCCTATACAGCACATTTAATCATGTAAATGGTTCTTTGGGTGTTTATGGTTCTATATAGAACCATTTTCTGTACTAAAGGTTCCTTGAAGAACCATCTTTTTTAAGTGAGAGAGAGAGAGAGACATTGGTCCACTGAAGAACAAAGGTTCTACTGTTTGAACATCAGACAGAAAATGATTTCTGAAAGAATTAAACCAAACCCGATAACAGAGAATGAAGAAACCTCAGCAGATGTTCTAGCTAACCAAGTCAGATACAGGAGAACCACAACAGATGACTGAAAGATGAAGTGACATAAAATCTGTAGGAAGTTGCGAAAGTTTAAGGAGTGAAAATCGAAGCGTCCTTTCGTTTCCTGGTAGGTGAAACTTGACTGTGTGACTCTTAAATCGAGCAGCTGAACTTGAGTTTGTGTCTCTGAATCTTGAAACGGGTTGTTTTGGTAAAAGACAGACGGTACACACTGGTCCTGTATCTAAAGTAGCTTGTTTTACCAGTAAATTACTCAGTTTTAGGATTTTCTGACTAACTGAGGTTTAAAAGACAAATTCATGATCAGTTTAGGAGTAAACCAAAGATAGAAACTAGTACATACCTTTTAGAGCAAGATCATTAATCTCATATTTCTGATCAGATCTAAGATTTTAAGAACAGTCTGCAGTAGAATGTTGTTTTCTTTTGGGTAAGTTATTCTTCTTTTCAGATCGTCATCGTTTGCGCAGTTCCTTCGTACGTGCCTGAGTTCATGACCCCATCAGTTAACACAAGCTCAGCCGTAGCCCTGTGAGAAGAACAGCTCCAGACTTTAAGGTTCCCACCGCTGAGCGTTATAGAACCCTCAGCGCAGTGTGGATGGATGTTCTTCCCCTGGATTTCTCTCAAACCAACATTATTTAATCAAAGTAATAAGTCATGAGAGGCCGTGCGTTACAGTGGTTTTATCATGGTTCTAAGGCCTGACAGGAAGCGGAGTAAAACCCCCTTCCCTGAGATAAAATCACTGTAATGTGCAGCCTCAAGTGGCTTACTGCTCCTATAAAATAGTGGCCAACATAAAATCTAATAATATACACAGATTATTAGTAAATAATTTAAGTTATTATTAACAATATTTGACATAGACAAGTATTCCACCAAAAAAAAATTTAGTTCCTTTAGAGGTTGGTATCGTCGCCAAGCAACCATGGACCACTGAATGAGGAGAACATTTGGTCGCCCATTGCTGTGCCCTGCGGTCATTTCATGAACTTTTTGACTTTTTGTCGTATAACAATGAACATATGACAACACAGCACTGTTTTGCCCTCTTCTCACGCTGAGGCTGAATCTCAGACGGCTCCCTGCTCCCTACATAGTGCACTACGTAGGAGTTTAAATACTGGATCCTGCAGCCCAACAGAGCAAAATACAGCTAAGAAACAGTCTTTTGGGATTCAGACTCATCCACACTTGATACATGATGCGCTGTTTGGCTGTAGAGGCTAGAACGTCTAAGCTTTCATAGCTCATAGCTTTCATATTTAGGGAGTATGGAGATGTTTGGGATTCAGTCTGGGTTTGATGCACTTCTGACTGAAACACAAACATTTGAAGCGTGTGAAACTTTTATACTGCAGCTTTACAGTTAATTATACCGTAAGTACTTTAATTCAAGCCTGTGATATTAATGATGGAGTTGTTTAGCATTAGCAACAGAACCGAGCAGCATTAAAGTCAAAGATTATTCATTAACAGCACAGGGATTTCTCATGGCGCAGTGACACAGAGTTCAGCTGTTGTGAGGCGGTCAGTGTACATATATCGAACACTTCACAATGGCTTTGAACGCTGCTCAGCCAATCAGAATTCAGGACTGGAACTATCTATTATACAATAAACATATTATAGAAATTAAAGAACTTCTTTGAAGTTGACCAATGGATAAAAGGTTCAAATACTTTTTGGGGCCACTTTATTTAGAGCCAATTTTTCGTTCAATATATATTATAGTTCATTTAATATATATCGATGTTCACTTAATATATGTTAAAGTTCATTGTATGAATATCGGTGTTCATTCTCTATAATAAAGACAGTCAAGTCACATTATTATGACCACCAGCTAATATCCCGAGTAACCGCTGTGTCCAGCATGGACAGCAGCTAGACGGGCTGGGAGTAACTCAATAAGGTCCTGGTAGGTTGTCACAGGTATGTGGAGCCAGGCTGACTGCAGTGCATCCCACAGCTGCTGGAGGGGGCGTGAGGGAGAATCCATGCAGTGAACACACCGGTCGAGGTGGTCCCACAGGGACAATCAGCATGTATGGGTGTTCGTGATCTGCAAGAATGGATTCATACCCAAATCGGTTGATAGTGCCTTCCACATAGATGAGTGGGCCCAGAGAATGCCACGAAAACCTTCCCCAGACCGAAAGTAGGAAGTGGTCATAATGATGTGACTCGACTATGTATGTTGAATGATTGATATATCGCTGTTGTTGGAACAAAATCTTGTATCTCCATTTTTGTTGTTTTTCAGTTTTTGACATAATTTGAAAATATCTCTTGTTCTTTAAGTTGTTTGTGAATTTCATGATGAATGGACCAAAAGAAACAGCCCAGACATACTCTGAAAAAAAGTCTGGTTCCATTGACTTACATTAACAGTAAAGTATGTTTTTTCCTTCTCCTGTAAAGTTGTCATTTTGGAGATATGAGGTTTTGTTCTGACAGCAGTGATATATCAATTATCAGTATTTATTGATTATCTTCAATAATTTCAAAGCATTTCAAAGCTTGAATACATGTAATTCTAACTCTGTATGAACAATTACAGTGGTGGTTTATCAATGATCTATAATAGAAAATGTTTGTTTCAGATGAGTCTTGTCAGTGAGCACCTTCTGGCCACACTACAGGATCTGGGAGAAAAAGACCTGAAGTCGTTTAAATGGAACCTGAACAAAGGTGTAGGATGTGTCCAGCGCATCCTATGGAGCCAGCTGGAAAAAGCAGACAGTTTAGACATTGTGACTGCAATGGTGCAGACATATGGCCAGGATGGAGCTGTGGAGACCACACTGACCATCCTAAAGAAGATAAACCAGAACGAACTGGCTAAGGAACTGAGGAGCAAGGTCTCAGAAGGTAAAGTGACAGAAATAGCTTTCTTTAGACTTCTGAAAGTAGCACATCATGGGTATATTTTCTCGGTGTATGTTAACACCACAGAGGTCTTATAGGACACAGAGCAAGTCACTGGCATTGGCATTAGCTCAATTCCTTTCAGTGGGATTACTCAGTAGTCTTGGTGTCTCAGACCCTGCAAGCTTTGCTTCATGGGCATGCTTTATTTTCAAGCACCAAAATTTGAGCTAAAGACATGACTTTTGCATTTGATGCGACTGACCACATTAGAATTGCAGAGGAATTATGTAAGTTGATGATTAAGTAATGTGAAACTATATAAGTTGATTAGCTGATGGCACCATCTTCAGCCTAGTCAAGGCAACAACCAAGCTTCATGCTTATGCATGACTAATAACAAAGAAGCCAAGAGACATTGAAAAATCAAACTGTTAGATGTTTTAAGTTCTCCAAAAACAAACTATTACCATATAGACATTGGTAAAGAGCATGGTTTGTCAGAAAAGATGGACATGTTGATTGGAAGTGTATGGAGAATCATAGTTACCAGGCAGGATTCCATTTGGCCACTAGACCTACCTGGGCACCGACAACAAGCTGAACCCTGCTCACCAACAGTTGCCGAAGAAGCACTGTTGACCACAAAATTGCCATTTCTAACACTGTATTAACTGTATATGGAGAGACATTTATAGTGAGATCAGCTCACAAATTACAGCATTTCATCTGGCACTGATATCCATTTTAACCCCTGATTTCACTCTTCTCTTTTTCAGCAATTTGTTCCAGTACCAGCCCAGCTCAACCCGGGGGCTCTGCTAATCCTCCTGCTTCTATCAAAGGTAAACATGTACATTGGCATCCCAGTGCCCAGTGTTCTGAGACTCGTGGACCTGGTTTCCTGGTCAGGGATTAAGTCTACATTTTCCACTACATTGAGAATCTCCTTTCAGAATGTTGTACAGTCCAGGACCAGGCCTAATTTCTTTTTGAGAAACCTGCCTATGATGTTCTACATTTGCTCTAATGAACACTACATCGCTATACAGCTAAGTTTCCAAATCCCACTCATAAGGGAGCTTACTCTGTCCTGATCATTTTAGAGTTTTCCTGCTGTAACTACTCTGTTGTAGGCAGGTCAAAGGCTTTATTGAGCTGATGAGCAGATTCAGGTGTGTCGGAAGTTGGAAAAGCACAAGGTCTGGTTTCCTGGACAGTAATTAAGCATAGGCAATTGTAACGATTTTAGAAGGGTGGGAGATGTGAGGACACCGGGAGCAGGGTGAGGAGACACAGACTTTCCTTTTATTCTGAGTACAAGGAAAACATCGATCAGCTTTTCAGCTTGCATACAAATTGCTCAGCGCATTGCTAGCCAGCACAGACATCTGTTAGCTGACGTAACAGAACTGGCGGTCAGTGTTCACGTCCAAGCATATTGTGCTGTCCAATGATGTTGTCTTAGGGGCAATTTGAAAAAAATGCAGTGGCTGGCTTTACATGGCTCAGAGAAAGCTTGTGCTATCCTTCACCCTGCTAGCACTGGTAGCATGTGATTGGATGAGACCTAGCTAGTGGGTGGAATAGTTAAATTTGGGGAGCCAAAAAATGTTTATTATTCTAGGTTTATGGGCAACGCCATGAAAGACTTCTGTATGTGAATCAGTGTCATAGGCTGACAGACAGATGAAAAAAGTCACACTTGTCGATAACAGTTTGTTGAACATTTGTTTACAAGCATTTTTGTGTTTTTGTTCCACAGATGCACACAGACAAGCAGAAAGCCAGAACCTGAAGTCTAAGTTCAAACGTAGCTTTGAGACATTGTATGAAGGAACAACAGCAAAGGGCGGCCATGTGTGCTTGAATGAGGTTTACACAGAGCTCTACGCAGTGGAGGGCTGGACAGGAGGAGTGAGCACCGAGCATGAAGTCATAAACATTGAGGCAGAATCCTGGAGATGTTGCACTGAAGACACTCCAATCAATTTCAGTAAACTTTTCCAATCTGAGTCCAAGGTGTTGACAATAGGAATAGCTGGAGTAGGTAAAACTATCGCTGTTCAGAAGTTTGTCCTAGACTGGGCAGAAGAAAAGTGCAATCAAGATGTGGAGTTTATTTTTCTTATTCCTTTCCGGGAGCTGAACCCTATTAAAGATGAAGAGTACAGCTTCCAACAGCTTCTACTTTACTTCCATCCAGAACTCAAACATCTGACAGAAACCGGGGTTTTTGATGATGAATGCAGGAGTCTCTTCATCTTTGATGGACTGGATGAGTTCAGAGTTCCGCTAAACTTTAATCAGAAAAGACTGTCAGGTGTAACAGAGAAAGCTACAGTTGACATGTTGCTAACGAACCTTATCAAGGGTCACCTGCTTCCTTCTGCTCTCATCTGGATAACATCCCGACCTGCAACAGCAGATCAGATCCCCTTGGAGAACATTAACCTGGTGACAGAAGTACGAGGGTTTAGTGACTTGCAGAAAGACGAATACTTCAGGAGGACACTCAAAGATGAGCATCAGGCCAGAAGAATCATCTTACATGTTAAAGGTTCCAAAAGTCTCCACATTATGTGCCACATACCAGTCTTCTGCTGGATGATGGCCACTGTTTTTCAGCGACTTCTAGACAGAAAACAGAGGAAAGAATTCCCTAAAACACTAACTGAGATGTACACAAACTTCCTCCTCATCCAGGCCAACATGAAAAGCCAGAAATATGACAAATCACATGAGAAAGACACAAGGAAACTTCTGAAATCCAACAGAGAAGTGATTATACAACTTGCTGAGCTGGCCTTCAAGCAGCTTGTGGAGGGCAATGTAATATTTTATGAAGAAGACCTGAAAGAGTGTGGGATCGAAATCAACGAGCCCTCAATGTACTATGGGATTTGCTCAGAATTCTTTTTGGAGGAATCTATCCTTTACCAAAGGAAGGTCTACTGCTTTGTGCATTTGAGTTTCCAGGAGTTTCTGGCTGCCTTCTATGTGTTTTACTGCTATGTCAGCAAGAACATGAAGCCACTTCAAATTTTGAAAAAAAAGAAGTGGCCTGAAGAAGTTCCTCTCCATGAGTTACTATGCAGAATAGTGGAAATAAACCTGTGGAGCAAAACTGGACGTCTAGATCTTTTCCTCCGTTTCCTGGTGGGTCTTTCTTTGGAGTCCAATCAGAGACTCTTACAAGGCCTCCTGACACATGTAGAGCCCAGTGCAGAAAGCATCAAGAGAACAGCCCAGTTCTTCAAAGACAAAATCCAAACAGAGGACCTCCCTGCTGACAGATCCATCAACTTGATTCTCTGTCTACTAGAGATGAACGATCATTCTCTTTACAGTGAGATCCAAGAGTTTCTCAGTTCAGCCAAGCACTCTGAGAAGAAGCTTAATACTGCACACTGCTCAGCTATTGCCTACGTACTGCAGATGTCTGAGGATGTGCTGGATGAACTTGACCTAAAGAAATACAGTGCATCACTGGAGGGTTGTATGAGGCTGATCCCAGCTGTGGGGAACTGCAGGAAAGCCCTGTAAGTGTGACCCAATGACTGTTAACGCTGTAAGACCAGAATTGATGGCACCAGTGGCAAATCTAGAAAATTTTACCAGGGGTGGCAACGGGGTGGTAGGCAGTTTTGGCAGGGTGGCAGTGTGAATGTGCAAGCAGGGCGGTTGTCGGGAGGTTGGACAGCTGGTCCATAGATCGCCGATAGCGAAACGCCCCACAGCAAGGTGGAAGCCAGTGACGTGGCAGAAATTTTGGGGTGGCATCTAGGGAGGCCAGTCAGATTTCAGGGAGGGACCCCTTTAAAACCACACATGAATGGCAGAAGACACATTCACAACATTTTGTCTGCATATCAGGGGAAGCTTCCATTCCTTGTCAGCTACATTAGTGTTGTAGCTCCAGTGCAGAATTAAAGAAGACATCAGACATCAAACTTGTTGATCGACTACATTTTATAGAACAGTTCCTTTAAACACAAGTTTTCTGATGATATATGTTATTGTATGACACTTCACATCTGGTGAACCTACATTGCTCACCACTGCTAACAGTCAGGTTTTCCTCGTTGAGATTATTTTGAAGCAAACATCCTGTTATGCCTGTGTTTATATATTATTCCATGTGCTCTGAATTTACTATTGACCCCGTACTGTGTTGTCTATCTCCTTACAGCCTTGCTTGCTGCAGTCTCACAGAGTGGTCCTGTGATGGCTTGACATCTGCATTACAAAAAGTGAACTCACCACTGAGAGAGCTGGACCTGACCAACAATGACCTGCAGGATTCAGGAGTGAAACTGCTCTCTGCGGCGCTGGAGAGTACACATTGCAAACTGGAGATACTCAGGTGATGCAATAGTCAAAGTTATGATGTCTGTAATGAAGAAGAGTGTGAAAGAAATGGATGTATGCAATGATTCTTTTGTGTAAATTACAGCAGGCATGAGAAAAAATAAGAAGGCCAGATCAGGGAAAGAGATTGATGCAAGATCAGGGACAGAGATTTGATGCTCCTGCGTAGCTTGATGTTTCTGTTTTGTAGTGTTTGGTGTTTTGGTATTGAAGGGTTTGATGTTTCTGTCTTGCCGAGTTTGGTGTTTTTGTTCTGCATGGTTTGATATTTGTGTTCTGCAGGATTTGATGTTTTTGTCCTACAGGGTTTGATGTTTCTATCCTGCAGGCTTTGATGTTTCTGTCCTGCAGGGTTTGATGTTTCTATCCTGCAGGCTTTGATGTTTCTGTCCTGCAGGGTTTGATGTTTCTATCCTGCAGGCTTTGATGTTTCTGTCCTGCAGGGTTTGATGTTTCTATCCTGCAGGCTTTAATGTTTCTGTCCTGCAGGGTTTGATGTTTCCATCCTGCAGGCTTTAATGTTTTTATCCTGCAGGGTTTGATGTTTCCATCCTGCAGGCTTTAATGTTTTTGTTCTGCAGGGTTTGGTGTTTTTGTTCTGCATGGTTTGATATTTTTGTCCTGCAGGCTTTGATGTTTCTGTCCTGCAGGGTTTGATATTTTTGTCCTGCAGGCTTTGATGTTTCTGTCCTGCAGGGCTTGATGTTTTTGTTCTGCAGGGTTTGATGTTTTTGTCCTGCAGGGTTTGATGTTTCTGTCCTGCAGGGTTTGATGTTTCTATCCTGAAGGCTTTAATGTTTTTGTCTTGCAGGGTTTGATGTTTTTGTCCTGCAGGGTTTGATGTTTCTTTCTCCCTCTTTGTCTTTCTCTTTCTGCAGATTGTCTGGCTGTATGATCACAGACAAAGGCTTTTCTTCTCTGGCTTCAGCTCTGAACACAAACCCCTCTTACCTGAGAGAGCTGGACATGAGCTACAACAATCCAGGAGAATCAGGACTTAGGCTGCTCACTGATCTTCTGAAAGATCCACAATGCAAACTGGAGAAACTCAAGTACACAAATCATAGTGCTAAAAAAGAGTGCAGTAAACTTCCATAACGATATACCTTTTAGTAAATTAAATATAAAATGTTAAAATGTATATAAAATATAAAATGTTTATACATAAAAAGTAGACATCTCCTCAGTGTGGCAGTTCAGAGTTTCCTGTTGACTTTGTTCTTTTTCTGTTCGTGTTTTCATTTCTGTTTTTAGTGTGGATCATGGAGGAGAGTTCAGGATTAAACCAGGACTCAGAAAGTGTAAGTACACACACACACACACAAACATTTGTCACATACTCACCTACTGTCCACTTCATTACAAACATCTACCTTGTAGCTCCACTTTGTTGTTGTGTACATCTCTTGATGTACAGTTTGTGTTAGTCATCCTCCAGCCCTTTATCAGGGGTCAGTTTGCTGGATGTTTTTGTGTTTTGGCTGTCCACTCTCAGCCTAGCAGACACATCTTGTCAGTGTAACTGCAGTGCTGAGAAGGATCCACCACCTAAGAAATATTTGGACAGCATTGAGCCTGTGGTCAGAAACTGACCAATGATGAATGGAGTAGAAGATGACTGACACAAACTGTACCTCAACAGATGTGCACAACAACAAAGTGGAGCTACAAGGTAGATGTTTCTAATAAAGTGGCCAGTTAGTGGAAGTACAAGGTAGGTGTTTCTAATAAAGCAGCCAGTTAGTGGAAGTACAAGGTAGGTGTTTCTAATAAAGCGGCCAGTTAGTGGAAGTACAAGGTAGGTGTTTCTAATAAAGTGGTCAGTGAGTGGAAGCACAAGATGGGTGTTTCTAATAAAGTGTCCAGTTAGCGGAAGCACAAGGTGGGTGTTTCTAATGAAGTGGCCAGTGAATAAAAGCACAAGGTGGGTGTTTCTAATAAAGTGTCCAGTTAGTGGAGGCACAAGGTGGGTGTTTCTAATGAAGTGGCCATTGAGTGATCTTCTCTGATGTGTCCTGTTTTGTCCAGATGCCTGTTATCTCACCCTGGACCTGAACTCTGTGAACCCTCACCTGTCTCTGTCTGAGGGGAACAGAAAGGCATTGTGGGTCAGAGAGCAGCAGGGGTATCCCCATCACCCAGAGAGATTTGACCAGTTCTACCAGGTGGTCAGTGTGGAGGGTCTGAGTGGACGCTGTTACTGGGAGGTGGAGTGGAGCGAGAGGGCGACTGTAGCCGTGACGTATAGAGGAATCGACAGGAAAGCAGGAGGTTCGTGGTTTGGACACAATGAAAAGTCCTGGAGCCTCTACTGCACCGGTCACTCTTACACAGCCCGGCACGGCGGAACTGAGGTTCCAGCCTCGTCTCCGCTCTCCAGCAGGGTGGGCGTCTATCTGGACTGGCCGAACGGGACTCTGTCCTTCTACAGCGTCTCCTCAAACCTTAAGCTGAACCACATACATACGTTCCACTGTCGGTTCTCCGAGCCCATCTACGCAGGGTTTGGGGTTGATCCTGGATCCTCTGTCACTCTGGCTAACGTAGAGTAACGTACAGTACAAACTTGCCTACTAATAAAAGCACACATGCATTAACGTAATTATAGTGCATTGCAGATGTTTCTATATTTGTAATAAAACTTTTTCATGTTGTTTTTGGTATGAATTAAGTTTGTTATTGAGTATATATAATAATAATACACTGTACACTATAAGTTGCACTACTTGTAATTTTTCTCACAGATCTGACATGTTTTCCAAATGAGGGTTTAACTGAAACTAGATGGTTTGAACAAAGACCATATATTGCATTGCCCTCTGTTTATTACTATAATAATATATTAAAATATATAGTTTAATTTATTTGATTTCAGGGGGTCCAAAGATCATAAATGATGACATGGTGATCACATGATATGGGGCCTTTAATATGCCCTGATACGTCATAAACTATTTTATATTGTTTATTTTTCTATTATAACTGACACTCATTATAAACACTGTTATTATTTAACTCTCATATATTAACACTGTTAATATATACATCACAATTTAACATCCTTAGTTTAAAATATTCATTGTTAATGCTCTGTTTATTAACATTATTATTTCCTGAAATTTTGATTATTTATTCATATGTTTATCTCTCAGATTATGAGGAGTTTTCCTAATAAACAGCTTCCTTTAAATGTTTTAATCAGCTGCCGGCAGAGTAACAACTGACACGAGAGGGAACCAATCAGAGATTAGGTCCAAATAGCTGGCACAGCGAACCACCAATCAGGAGCGAGCTTTGGCCCCGCCCACCCTGAGCTTCCCTCAACCTGCCACAGTGCTGCCTTCAACCGTCCTATACGTGCATGTTCAAACAGTTTCTGACCAGGAAAAAACAGCTCAGCTGGAAAATGATCGAGTGGGAATAGATGTTCAAGTGCGAAACTAAAAGAAGATCTTTTATGTTAATAAATCTCGAGGAACGTCTCGTCTTCTCGTCTTTCTGCTCTCTTGATCTCAATATTATAGCATTAAAGCAACATTGTAGACTAACAAACGTCAGTTTAAGCCTGATTTTATACGATTAAAATGTTGAGCATCAGAAAATATAGACTGGTATAGACTGATTAAAGCAGAAAAAGGAAAATATAAACTAAAATTAAAACTATACATTTAAATATATAGAAATAAACACATAACATAAAGAAATATTTGTGTCTAAATACTCACTTTTTTTATTAATTACTGTCATAACGTTATCAATAACAATAAAACTATACTGAAATGCCAATATAGAACATATTAAATAAAACAGTAAAAAACGGTCGCAAACATAGTGAAACGCGTGGACGTTAAATAAAAATAAAAGAGAAAACAGAACTGTAATGGTTCAGGACTGCCCTGGGGCTTTTTTACTGGGTGAGCTATTCCAGAAGGACGCGTAAGGCATTAGTAAATCCAAAATAAATCACCTTTAATCGTGTAAATCAGTGTAAATCAGTGAGGCTGTGGCTTGGTGAAGCGCGGTTTGCTGGTGAACACAGTGAAACAGTAAAGGGCGGCGCGGCTGAAGGCAGCGCTGTGTCCGTAGCTGCTGAGCGGAAGCTAACAGCTTAAAACAGAACCAAAACAGAACCAGAACAGCGGACAAACCCGGCGATGTGACCAGCGCACCTGCTTCAGACCTCCACCCACCACACCTGCACTCTTCAGGTAACAGACCCGGGGGGTTCGGGCCGGGATTTTAACCGGAAGAGCCGAAAAGGGCCAGCTCTGGCCGGGGTTAGCAGCGAGGCTAACGGCTCACCTGTAGATCAGCGGCGGCTACGGAGACAGGTGTGGAGCCCAAACGCAGAACAGAGACGGAGACGGCGGACTAAGTGGACTAAAACCCAGAACCGGACTGAGCTCAGTGTGATATCAGCGCAGCTGCGGGTTAATCTGTGTTAAAGTGCTCACACTAACCGAACCTAGCGGCGCTCCGATTCACACCGTTCATCACTCGGTTCGGTTCGGTACAGCGGCGTGTCGATTCGCTGCGAGCTGTACGATACCTCAGTTTGGATCGCTCCTCAGTTCTGTTTGATCTTTTTCACAGCAGTAGCGGCAGCTTAACTCACATTTAACACTCTTCTGATGTTCTGTGTGTTTACGTTTCCGCTGTGTGTGTTTATGATCGGTTGCTAGGCAACAGACATGACAGCTGATCGTCGACGCTGATCGGGTAGGTTAAGATTTCCTATTCGGAGATTAGATGCTTAAAGATTCCTACATTAAGATCAGATCTGATTCTGTGATATGAATCAGGGTAAAGTCTGATTTTGACCGTCAGATCTGATCTCAGAACTACAGAGAGGACGTTTCTTTAGTACGGCTGCTGCTTCACGTTTCACATAACCAGTACGACTCTTACTGGTTCCAGTGTGATACGTTCGAGTATATCACGTTATGGTACAATGCAGTACGTTACTTTATGATGTAGTACATTATGATATGTTAAATTTTGATCAAATTTATTTGTTATGATACAGTGTGTTACGTTATGATACTGCATCGTAACATGTTGAATCATAACATAACATACTGTATCATAATGTATAGTTTTTATCATAATTTAACATTTAATATTGTATTTTACATTATGGTAAAATGTATACTTTACGATACAGTGGTACATTATGATACAGTATGATACAACACTATGTTACATTATAATACAGTATGATCCGTTTGATACAGTGTGTTATGTTATGATATGATACAGTGTAAACTACGTTACAGTACAGCTAAATTAAATTATTTGTATACATGTATTACGATACAATGTTGAATTATGATAACGATTCGTTACAGTACGGTACGTTACATTATGATGCAGTACATTACGATATATTATGTTAAATTATGGTAAAACCTTTGATACAGTATGTTACGTTATGATACTGAATTGTAACATACTGTATCATAACGTTTAGTTTTTATCATAATTTACCATACTATATCATAACATCTTGTATGTTACATTCTAATAAAATGTATACATTACAGTACAGTATGGTACATTATGATACAGTACGATACGCTATAACACTGTTACGTTGATACAATATGATATAATACAGTATAAACAATACGTTACAATATAGTTAAATTATTGTTAAATTATGATAAAAATTATTAATTACGAAATAGATTATGATGCAGTACGACACATTATGATACAGCATGTTGCGTTATGATACAGTACAATATCTTAGTGCTAATGATGTTATGATAGTGTGTTGTTATAATACAGTATGATGCGTTATGATACAGTGTTACATTATGATACAGTACGATATGTTACAACACAGTATGTTACGTTATGATACTGAATCGTAACATTGTATCATAATATAGTTTTTATCATAATTGAACATACTATATCGTAACATCTTGTTTGGTACATTATGATAAAAACGAAATGTTACAATACAGTATGTTACATTATGGTACAGTACGATACACTATAACACAGTGTTACGTTATGCTACAGTACGCGTTCGATACAGTGTGTTATGTTGTGATACAATATGATGTTTTGATACAGTATAAACAATACGTTACGATAGTTAAATTATTGTTAAATTATAATAAAAATGATTACGAAATATGTAAAATAGGTTATGATGCAGTACGATACATTACAATACAGTATGGTACATTATGATGCAGTACGATATGTTACAACACAGTATGTTACGTTATGATAGAGTATGATGCGTTTGATACAGTGTGTTATGTTGTGATACAATATGTTATGATACAGTATAAACGATACGTTACAATACAGCAAAATTATTATTAAGTTATCATATATTACGATACAGTATGTTGAATTATGATACAGCATGTTACGTAATGTTACAATACCACATGTTATAATACAATACGTTAACAGCGCTAACGATGGTATAATACTGTGTGTTACGTTATGATTCATTATAACGTTAAAGCTGCAGTACTTTACAGTGTATTTGTACGTAATATGTTACCGTACGCTAAGATACAGTATGATATGGTACAGTGTGACGTTACGACACTGTTTCTCAGTACATTACGATACAGTGTGTTACGTCATGATGTAATACGATGTGATAGTGTGTTATGATATAGTACGTTACTGTATAATGTGTGTTAGAGTACAGTGGTGTTAATACGATATGTTACAGTCTGTCATGATACATTATGATACGATACACAGACATACAGTGACACAGTGTGTTCCAGCACATCAGGATACAAAGCGATACGTTACAGTGTCTCCAAACGTGGATCAATAAGTGGTAATTAATGAGGAGTAATTAAGAGATGGATCCCTTTATGGTCTGTAAGAGTCTCTGTCTGCGCTGTAGATGCTGAAAGTGAAGGCCCGATGTCGGACCCTCAGCTCACAGAAGCGGGTGACGTTGATGTTGATGATGTCGACGTCTCTGCGGGCGACTCTCCTGCTGACCGGGACCCCCAGGCCGGCGGTCTCTCAGAGAGGGAGTTCTCCTGCCACTGCTGCTACGACATCCTGATAAACCCCACCACGCTAAACTGCGGACACAGCTTCTGCAGACACTGCCTGGCCCTGTGGTGGGAATCTGCGGGGAAGAACGAGTGTCCGGAGTGCAGGGAGAGATGGGAGGGCTTTCCCAAGGTCAACATCCTGCTCCGGTGAGGAGGAAGGAGAACGGGAGCAGCGCAGTCACAGCGGAACACTCAGTACACTCCACCATTCAGCCTACAGCAGATTAGCCCCGCCCATTCAGACTACAGCAGTTTAGCCCCAGCCATTCAGCCTACAGCAGATTAGCCCCGCCCACTCATCCTACAGCAGATTAGCCCCGCTCACTCAGCCTACAGCAGATTAGCCCCACCCATTCAGCCTACAGCAGTTTAGCCCTGCCCACTCATCCTACAGCTGTTTAGCCCCGCCCACTCAGCCTACAGCAGATTAGCCCCGCCCATTCCCATACAAATTTAGCCCCACTCAGGATTGTTACAGCCCTGTCTATTTAAATTAGCCAGCCAATCAGAGCAGAGCTCATTTACATATCAGTTTTAATGGAGCAGTATCAGAAACAAAAAGGAAGCAAACATCCATTAAACTAGGAGATTAAGAGAAGTTTAAAAATGTTCATGCAGAAATGAATTCAGACCTTTTTTGGATAAAACTCTGAAGTAGCCTGTGTGTATTTGAACACAGGGACGCTGTGGAGAAGCTGTTCCAGGCTGATGTGCAGAGGAGACGGCAGGAGATCCAGAATAACCCCCGAATCGCCCACTCCCTGCTGGCCTTCCAGCGCCACGGCGACGAGCAGGCCAGTCGCGGAGCTCCCCCGGGGGGCCCACGCAGAGGAGCCGGCAGCTTCTTCACCGGAGTGCTGACCGCACTGACCGCCGTCGCTGTGAGTTTGTGTCTGTACACTCACTGTCCACTTCATAGAGCACTTTTTAAATGAAACAGTAGAAGCCATATCGCCCCCTACACTTCCTGTAGTGTATTACAGTCTGTCAGAGTGACTGTGTGGGTCATATGAACATTATAGAGCTCTTATTTTAAGTGAATGCCCTGTTTATGTGTGTAGGTGATGTTGCTGGTGTATCACTGGTCCAGTGGTGAAGCCCATCATGAAGTTCTGGTCAGTAAGCCGGTCAGCAAGTGGACGACTGATGATGTCACACTGTGGATGGAGCACCTGGGGGCGTGGGCCAATCAGTACAGAGAGATTTTCATAGAAGAGAAGGTTAACGGCAGGTCAGAAACAAGACAGGAACACATTTAGTCCCTGTGTGTTTGACTGACACTGCATTATCTAACAATACAGACTGTAATGAGGTTTAATAAAGTTCAGGAAACAGATAATGTCAGCATTAATCTCTGATAGTATGACCTAATATAACCTGGGATTATTTGTACGCTTCATTTTATAACACTGAATTAATATAATCTGAGATTATTTCTGCAGTTCATTTAATAACACAGGAGTAATATAACCTGGGATTATTTCTACAGTTCATTTAATAACACAGGATTAATATAACCTGGGATTATTTCTACAGTTCATTTAATAACACAGGATTAATATAACCTGGGATTATTTCTACAGTTCATTTAATAACACAGGATTAATATAACCTGGGATTATTTCTACAGTTCATTTAATAACACTGGATTAATATAACCTGGGATTATTTCTACATTTTGTTTTATAACACTGGATTAATATAACCTGGGATTATTTCTACAGTTCATTTAATAACACAGGATTAATATAACCTGGGACTATTTCTACATTTTGTTTTATAACACTGGATTAATATAACCTGGGATTATTTCTACAGTTCATTAATAACACAGGATTAATATAACCTGGGATTATTTCTGCAGTTTGTTTTATAACACTGGATTAATATAACCTGGGATTATTTCTACAGTTCATTTAATAACACAGGATTAATATAACCTGGGATTATTTCTACATTTTGTTTTATAACACTGGATTAATATAACCTGGGATTATTTCTACAGTTCATTTAATAACGCAGGATTAATATAACCTGGGATTATTTCTGCAGTTTGTTTTATAACACTGGATTAATATAACCTGGGATTATTTCTACAGTTCATTTAATAACACTGGATTAATAAAACCTGGAATTATTCTGCAGTTTGTTTTATAACACGAGATTAATATAACCTGTGATTATTTCTACGGTTTAATTTTATAGTAAGGGATTAAAGGAACCTGTGTTTGTTTCTACAATTCGTTTTATAACACAGGATTAACATAACCTGAGTTATTTCTGCAGTTTGTTTTGTAACACAAGGATAATATAACCTGGGATTATTTCCACAATGTGTTTCATAGCATGGGATTAATGTAACCTGGGGCTACTTCTACTTCTTTATAGTGTAAGATTAATGTATACTGGGTTTATTTCTATTGTTTGTTTTATATAACGAACAGGTATTAGGGCATTGCACCGTGGGGGTGGGGGGGTGGGGGGGGCTCTTATTTAGGTCTTATTTTTCCCCTCATCTGATAACCTACTGAAGATAGGTGTGCATTTTACACATGTTCATCTTTGAGCACTGGGGATGGTGTGCTGTGGTGTATATCAGCAGGATCTTAACCGTATTAAAGACATTTCAGAAGAAAAATCAAATCAAAGTCTTCTCGTTTACTGTACAACCCACAAAGCTTTAGCCTGGCTAAATCGTCAGTAGCCTGTCTTCTGCGGCCTGTAGGTGGAGCTCTATGTCATGAGGACTGCGGTTCGGTCTCAGTAGATCACGCCAGCCCTGATTATATTCACTGTAACACGCCACCCGCGCTGTTCTGCTGCCTTTATACAGCATTTTAACCGAGTAAAGACCAAAGTGAGGTACGACGCCCTGAGTGTGGTTCAGAGTGTGAGCTTTTAATATTGATCATTTCCTCCACCTGAGAAAATAGTCCCGCCAGCCTCGAGTAAAGCGACCGTTGTCGTTGCTTAGCAACCGGTGGTGAGTGGAACGATACAAAACGTTGTTTCCATCAAATAGTAGAACAAATTCCTGCCAGTCAGATTGTGTGGGCGGAGCTAACCCTGATTCTTTGGTTTTGATCAGTTTCTATACGATCTTAACCAGATGCCGGTCTCTGTGTGTGTCAGGTTACTGACCCTGCTGAGTGATGAGGAGTTATCTAGACCGCCGTACGGCATCGAGAACCCTTCCCACAGACGGGCCGTGCTGGAGGAGCTGCACAAAGTCCGAGAGCTCGGCGTCAAACCGCCACAGAACCTCTGGGAGTACAAGGTGATCTGGCAGAACTTCCTGGAACAATCTCAGATTTGCTTTATACATGCAGGAAGTGATGTCAGCGTGTCCAGTGGACAATGTGCAGAATTTTAGAGATATAGAGGCTTTAAAAAGTGGGCGTGGCCTTAATTTTTGTCCTTAAATTTGTGCTATGCAAATTAAGCTGTAGTTCTCTCTCTGTCTCTCTCTCTGTCTCTCCCTCTCTCTCTCTCTCTCTCTCTCTCTCTGTCTCTGTCTCTCTGTCTCTCTCTCCCTCTCTCTCTCTGTCTCTCTCTCTCTGTCTCTCTCTTTCTCTCTCTCTCTGTCTCTCCCTCTCTCTCTCTGTAGGCGGTGAATGGAGGGAAGTCTCTCTTCCTCCTTTACGCTCTGAAAGACTCTCCTCGTCTGTCCATCCTCTACCTGTACCTGTTCGACTATGAGGACACCTTCCTCCCCTTCATTCACACCTGCTGCCCCACACGCCCGCCACACCCTCACCTGGACGACTCACCCAGCAGGACTCCGGTGGGTTTGGTCCTCTTTTATCAGTCAACCTTTACCAGAAACGGTTATCAATCAGCATTAGAAACAAACAAATCAGAGCTGAAACTCATTCAGGACTTTTAGCTGATCTTGGACTTCAAACTAAAACCCTTTTGTTCTGAGTGACTCTAAACCTTAACTATATTAATTTTATTAAAACCTATGATTAAAAATCCATTTATCTCTACTATAACAATAATATCACCGTCCAAACTGTACCAAATGTTTCAGTAGTGTCTGTTTCGGTAATGACAGTTTCAGTAGTGACTTTCTATACTTTCTGTTTCGGTAGTGACTGTGTCAGTAGTGACTGTGTCAGTAGTGTCTGTTTCAGTAGTGACAGTTTCGGTAGTGTCTGTTTCGGTAGTGTCTGTTTCAGTAGTGACTGTTTCGGTAGTGTCTGTGTCGGTAGTGTTTCTTTCGGTAGTGTCTGTTTCAGTAATGTCTGTTTCAGTAATGTCTGTTTCAGTGGTGTCTGTTTCGGTAGTGTCTGTTTCGGTAGTGTCTGTTTCGGTAGTGACAGTTTCAGTAGTGTCTGTTTCAGTAGTGACTGTTTCGGTAATGACTGTTTCGGTAGTGTCTGTTTCGGTAGTGACTCTTTCGGTAGTGTCTGTTTCGGTAGTGACTGTTTCGGTAGTGTCTGTTTCGGTAGTGTCTGTTTCAGTAGTGTCTGTTTCAGTAGTGTTTCTTTCAGTAGTGTCTGTTTCAGTAGTGTCTGTTTCGGTAGTGACTTTCAGTAATGACTTTCGGTAGTGACTGTTTCGGTAGTGTCTGTTTCAGTAGTGACTTTCAGTAATGACTGTTTCGGTAGTGTCTGTTTCAGTAGTGACTGTTTAAGTAGTGTCTGTTTCAGTAGTGTCTGTCTCGGTAGTGACAGTTTCAGTAGTGACTGTTTCAGTAATGACTGTTTCGGTAGTGTATGTTTCGGTAGTGACTCTTTCGGTAGTGTCTGTTTCGGTAGTGAATCTTTCGGTAGTGACTGTTTCAGTAATGACTGTTTCGGTAGTGTCTGTTTCGGTAGTGTCTGTTTCAGTAGTGACTGTTTCGGTAGTGTCTGTTTCGGTAGTGACAGTTTCAGTAGTGTCTGTTTCAGTAGTGACTGTTTCGGTAATGACTGTTTCGGTAGTGTATGTTTCGGTAGTGACTCTTTCGGTACTGTCTGTTTCGGTAGTGAATCTTTCGGTAGTGACTGTTTCAGTAATGACTGTTTCGGTAGTGTCTGTTTCAGTAGTGACTTTCAGTAATGACTGTTTCGGTAGTGTCTGTTTCAGTAGTGTCTGTTTCGGTAGTGTCTGTTTCGGTAGTGTCTGTTTCAGTAGTGACTGTTTCGGTAGTGTCTGTTTCGGTAGTGACTCTTTCGGTAGTGTCTGTTTCGGTAGTGAATCTTTCGGTAGTGTCTGTTTCGGTAGTGACTGTTTCGGTAGTGTCTGTTTCGGTAGTGTCTGTTTCGGTAGTGTCTGTTTCAGTAGTGACTGTGTCAGTAGTGTCTGTTTCAGTAGTGACAGTTTCGGTAGTGTCTGTTTCAGTAGTGTCTGTTTCGGTAGTGACAGTTTCAGTAGTGACTGTTTCAGTAATGACTGTTTCAGTAGTGTCTGTTTAAGTAGTGTCTGTTTCGGTAGTGTCTGTTTCGGTAGAGACAGTTTCAGTAGTGACTGTTTCGGTAGTGACTGTGTCAGTAGTGACAGTTTCAGTAGTGTCTGTTTCAGTAGTGACAGTTTCGGTAGTGTCTGTTTCGGTAGTGTCTGTTTCGGTAGTGACAGTTTCAGTAGTGACTGTTTCAGTAATGACTGTTTCAGTAGTGTCTGTTTAAGTAGTGTCTGTTTCGGTAGTGTCTGTTTCGGTAGAGACAGTTTCAGTAGTGACTGTTTCAGTAATGACTGTTTCAGTAGTGTCTCTTTCGGTAGTGTCTGTTTCAGTAGTGACTGTTTCGGTAGTGTCTGTGTCAGTATTGACTGTTTCAGTAGTGTCTGTTTCAGTAGTGTCTGTTTCGGGAGTGACAGTTTCAGTAGTGACTGTTTCAGTAATGACTGTTTCAGTAGTGTCTGTTTCGGTAGTGACTCTTTCGGTAGTGACTCTTTCGATAGTGTCTGTTTCGGTAGTGAATCTTTCGGTAGTGTCTGTTTCAGTAGTGACTGTTTCAGTAGTGACTGTTTCAGTAGTGACTGTTTCGATAGTGTCTGTTTCAGTAGTGACTGTTTCAGTAATGACTGTTTCGGTAGTGTCTGTTTCGGTAGTGTCTGTTTCAGTAGTGTTTCTTTCGGTAGTGTCTGTTTCAGTAGTGACTGTTTCAGTGGTGTCTGTTTCAGTAGTGTCTGTTTCGGTAGTGTCTGTTTCGGTAGTGACTGTTGCAGTAGTGTCTATTTCGGTAGTGTCTGTTTCGGTAGTGACGGTTTCAGTAGTGACTTGCAGTAGTGACTGTTTCGGTAGTGTCTGTTTCGGTAGTGTTTCTTTCGGTAGTGTCTGTTTCAGTAGTGACTGTTTCAGTGGTGTCTGTTTCAGTGGTGTCTGTTTCAGTAGTGTCTGTTTCGGTAGTGTCTGTTTCGGTAGTGACTGTTGCAGTAGTGTCTATTTCGGTAGTGTCTGTTTCGGTAGTGACTGTTTCGGTAGTGTCTGTTTCAGTAGTGACTGTTTCAGTAGTGACTGTTTCAGTAGTGTCTGTTTCGGTAGTGACTTTCAGTAATGACTGTTTCGGTAGTGTCTGTTTCGGTAGTGTCTGTTTCGGTAGTGTCTGTTTCGGTAGTGACTGTTTCAGTAGTGACTGTTTCAGTAGTGTCTGTTTCGGTAGTGTCTGTTTCGGTAGTGACTTTCAGTAATGACTGTTTCGGTAGTGTCTGTTTCGGTAGTGTCTGTTTCAGTAGTGACTTTCAGTAATGACTGTTTCAGTAGTGTCTGTTTCAGTAGTGACTGTTTCGGTAGTGTCTGTTTCAGTAGTGTCTGTTTTGGTAGTGACAGTTTCGGTAGTGTCTGTTTCGGTAGTGACTGTTTCAGTAATGACTGTTTCGGTAGTGTCTGTTTCGGTAGTGAATCTTTCGGTAGTGACTGTTTCAGTAATGACTGTTTCAGTAATGTCTGTTTCAGTAGTGACTTTCAGTAATGACTGTTTCGGTAGTGTCTGTTTCGGTAGTGACTGTTTTGGTAGTGTCTGTTTCGGTAGTGACTGTTTCGGTAGTGTCTGTTTCGGTAGTGACTCTTTCGGTAGTGAATCTTTCGGTAGTGTCTGTTTTGGTAGTGACTGTTTCGGTAGTGTCTTTTTCGGTAGTGACTGTTTCAGTAGTGTCTGTTTCAGTAGTGACTGTTTCAGTAGTGTCTGTTTCAGTAGTGTCTGTTTCAGTGGTGTCTGTTTCACTAGTGTTTCTTTCAGTAGTGTCTGTTTCGGTAGTGACTGTTTCAGTAGTGACTGTTTCGGTAGTGTCTTTTTCGGTAGTGACTGTTTCGGTAGTGTCTTTTTCGGTAGTGACTGTTTCAGTAGTGTCTGTTTCAGTAGTGTCTGTTTCACTAGTGTTTCTTTCAGTAGTGTCTGTTTCAGTAGTGACTGTTTCGGTAGTGTCTGTTTCGGTAGTGACAGTTTCAGTAGTGTCTGTTTCAGTAGTGACTGTTTCGGTAATGACTGTTTCGGTAGTGTATGTTTCGGTAGTGACTCTTTCGGTACTGTCTGTTTCGGTAGTGAATCTTTCGGTAGTGACTGTTTCAGTAATGACTGTTTCGGTAGTGTCTGTTTCAGTAGTGACTTTCAGTAATGACTGTTTCGGTAGTGTCTGTTTCGGTAGTGACTGTTTCGGTAGTGTCTGTTTCGGTAGTGTCTGTTTCAGTAGTGTCTGTTTCAGTAGTGACTGTTTCGGTAGTGTCTGTTTCGGTAGTGACTCTTTCGGTAGTGTCTGTTTCGGTAGTGTCTGTTTCGGTAGTGAATCTTTCGGTAGTGTCTGTTTCGGTAGTGTCTGTTTCGGTAGTGACTGTTTCGGTAGTGTCTGTTTCGGTAGTGACTGTTTCGGTAGTGACTGTGTCGGTAGTGACTGTGTCAGTAGTGTCTGTTTCAGTAGTGACTGTTTCGGTAGTGTCTGTTTCGGTAGTGTCTGTTTCGGTAGTGACAGTTTCAGTAGTGACTGTTTCAGTAATGACTGTTTCGGTAGTGTCTGTTTCGGTAGTGTCTGTTTCAGTAGTGACTGTTTCGGTAGTGTCTGTGTCGGTAGTGTCTGTTTCAGTATTGACTGTTTCAGTAGTGTCTGTTTCAGTAATGTCTGTTTCGGGAGTGACAGTTTCAGTAGTGACTGTTTCAGTAGTGTCTGTTTCGGTAGTGACTCTTTCGGTAGTGACTCTTTCGATAGTGTCTGTTTCGGTAGTGAATCTTTCGGTAGTGTCTGTTTCAGTAGTGTCTGTTTCAGTAGTGTCTGTTTCAGTAGTGACTGTTTCGGTAGTGTCTGTTTCAGTAGTGACTGTTTCAGTAATGACTGTTTCGGTAGTGTCTGTTTCGGTAGTGTCTGTTTCAGTAGTGTCTGTTTCAGTAGTGACTGTTTCGGTAGTGTCTGTTTCGGTAGTGACTCTTTCGGTAGTGTCTCTTTCGGTAGTGAATCTTTCGGTAGTGTCTGTTTCGGTAGTGACTGTTTCGGTAGTGTCTGTTTCGGTAGTGTCTGTTTCGGTAGTGACTGTTTCGGTAGTGACTGTGTCGGTAGTGACTGTGTCAGTAGTGTCTGTTTCAGTAGTGACTGTTTCGGTAGTGTCTGTTTCGGTAGTGTCTGTTTCGGTAGTGACAGTTTCAGTAGTGACTGTTTCAGTAATGACTGTTTCGGTAGTGTCTGTTTCGGTAGTGACTGTGTCAGTAGTGACTGTGTCAGTAGTGTCTGTTTCGGTAGTGACTGTTTCGGTAGTGTCTGTTTCGGTAGTGTCTGTTTCGGTAGTGACAGTTTCAGTAGTGACTGTTTCAGTAATGACTGTTTCGGTAGTGTCTGTTTCGGTAGTGTCTGTTTCAGTAGTGACTGTTTCGGTAG